GCCGAGTGCGGCCAGGCCCAGGCGGGGGTGCGCGGCCCCTCAGTCCGCCTGGGCCGGCCAGCAGCGAGCCGGGGGGTGTCACCAAGTGTCCCCCCAGGGGCCGTCTCGCATATTCCACGCCAGCCGGCTGCACCTGGGCCCACGCGCGGTGGCAGGGACCAGTCTGCTGCACGACACGCGGCGGTACGTTCGTGCTGGCGCGCGGGGCCCAGGTGTCGCCCGTGCACGACGACCAGTGCACGGGGCGCCGGCTGCTGGGGCTGTCCTCTCGGCACCGGCCATCCTCCGGTGCCCTCGCGTCGCCGCGTGCACAGGAGTGCTGTCGTGTGGGATCTCCGGGACGGATGAGTACCTTCGTGGCCGTCCAGCCACGCGGCCGCCCGCCCGCAGCCGTAGTCCGTATGCTACCGTGCAAAGCTCCACCATGTAAGAGAACTGCCCTACCCAGGCAGTCCCTTATCAAGCCAAGTGAGGCCACCAAGTGGCCGAGCGAGGCCAAGGAAGCCTGCTCACCTGCTGCTGACGTGAGTCTGGCAGCAGGACACTCGAGTGTGTGTGTCGTATTACACCTTAGTGTGATGAGACTGCTCGGCATGGCCGCCGCGCAGCCCCTAGGCCTGCGCGGTGGCAGATCTCCAGGATCTGGAGTCCCCCCTGACAGGGCAATCTCCTGACACCTGACCGGTGTATTGAACATGCAGTGTAATGAACTTTCTGTCTGACAAACGTGTCAAAACCGGAGGTCACAATTCCGCTTCGTGCGGCGCTACATGGACGACAACCTCTCGGTGGGCAACCCATGGTACCGGTATTTCATTTCCAACCCCCGCCCCCCACTCCCCCCCGACACCCCCCCCTCCATCTCCCACGCCCTCCCCTCCCTACGCAACATCTACCCGCCCTGCCTCTCCCTCGTGCTGGACCGCCCGTCGGACCCCCTCGACGGCGTGACTTTTCTTGACCTGCGTGTGCGCCCGCACCCGCACTACCCCGCGTACCTGCTAGTGTCGCACTACGACAAGCGGTCCGACTTCCCCTCCCTCGACGTGATCCAGTACCCGCATATCACCAGCGCCTTGATGCGCAAACACCTTTACAACATCATTTACACGGAACACATCCGTATCGCCTCACAGGTGACCGACCGCGATAGCTACGTTCACGCTCTGGCCGCCAAGATCCGCTACATGATACACGAACGCGGGTATGACAGAACGCGCCTATATCGCCAGCACCGGACTGCATGCTTGAAACACGCTGTCCCACACTTCGCGCCCGCCACGCCAGAAGGTGTTCACGACCTCGTTGTCCGCGAAGTTGCGCGCCTTGACGCGGCCCGCGCACCCGCGAACCACGCGTACCCCGTCGACCGCACCCGACACGCGCCGTCGTACCACGCCCCCGCGCTGGCAGCGTGGCTTTCAGCGATCTCCCCGTGAACGATTACGGCTAATACACCCCCTCCCCCCCCAAACCCGACCCCCCCCCGCCCTCCACTCCCCCTCCCTCCCTCCCCCTCCCTTCCCTCCCCCAACCCCCTTCCTGGGGCCGTGCGGGTGTTCCGCGGCCCTGGAGCCCCATGACAACGTCATCGTCATGTTAACGATCACACGCACGAGCTTCCTGGGCACTGCACCCCCACCCCTGACAACCACCACGCGGATCCGCTGCTCAACGTGTGCTTCCAGGAGCGGCCCGAGTAGCGGGTGACGTGAGGGGCTGTCACCTGACATGCGTGATGTCATGCGTGCTGTCTTGCTGGGCAGGTTCGCCGGCCGACGACATCGGGACGCGTGGTGGGGCTTGCCGACGAGTACCCGCACGCCCGCGGGGCTCGTCACTCATCGAAGACTTCACTCGAGCTGCGTGCGCAGGTGATTGGGACCCCGACACTTGTTGCTGCAGCTTGCTCATCCTGCGTGCGGGTACTCCACCACGTCGTTGCTCGGCCACCCCTTTCCTTGGTTAACGTGACCTCCGGTGTGACACGTTTGTCACACTGCATGTTCAATACAATAACCAAGGAAAGGGGTGGCCGAGAGCAACGACGCGGTGGAGTACCCGCACGCAGGATGAGCAAGCGGCGGCAACAGATGTTGGGGTCCCAGCTCCTGCGCACGCAGCTTGAGTGAAGTCTTCGATCAGTGACGAGCCCCGCGGGCGTGCGGGTACTCCAGCAGCAAGTGTCGGGGTCCCAACTACTACTTCGCTTGTACTTGGCTGACCTACAAGCACCCTCGCCGCGAGGCACAGTGCGACACAGCACGCGACGGGTGAGACGAGAGCTGCCCGCACGCGTCTTGGCACACGTCACAGAGAGGCGGTCGTAACGGAGGAATGGATGGGGGGGTGGGTTGCGGAGAGGTGTCCGGGCATGACACTCTCTGTGGGTTGGCGGTGCACGCATAGCGAGTCCTACAGTGCCAACGCAAGTGCAGTTGGTGTGCCCACTAGGCAGCTGTGTCGTCACTGGTGTGTTGGGTGGCACGACGGAGGTGTATCGGATCCGCACAGATGCTGCGGCCGTTATCTTACGTGACCTTCAGCTGTGAGTCGGAGCCGCTAATCATTCCTGTCGGATGTCAACTGGAAGAGGCTCCGGGAGGCGATCGAGGGCCCGGCCGAGCCGCTCTCGGCTAGAAAGGAGGGCAGTGTTGCCCTTCCGCACAGATGTCGTCTTCGGCGAGGAAGGACGATCCGCGGCAGCCGATGTGACACCGAATGGGCGCTCGTGATCGCTGCCGCCCGCGGTGCGGTCGAATTGGCATGAGCGCTGCATGCGCTACGCAACGATGCGTCAATGGTGGGTTGGTGGGGGGGAACTGACGTGTGCCACCAGGGTTCGAAAGCCACAGTGTTGCTGTCGCACTTTCGCTCGGGGGGCTGAAGGGAGGTACGTGGGGTCGGGGTGGGCAGGGGAGGTCGTGGTTGCTGGATAGGGTCTCTGCTGGGGGAGAGGGAGGGGAGGGGGGGCCTTGGTCGTGGAGCCTGAGAGTTTGCAGGCGAACCTCGCACGTGGGCGGGGTCGGCGGACGTTTCAGCCGGGGGGTGGCGTCAGCGCTCAGGGCGTGCTGCTCACCCCCCGGGTCGTTGGGTGGATCCGAGAACGGCTGCCGCCCGCGCCCGAAAGTCGGGGTCGCGGCAAGACACGCTGGCGGCGCGTCTGTGTGGTGGTTTCGATGCAGGCGCGTGTCGCAGCCCTTGGCAGGGCCGCGTGGGCGCCGGTGGCAGCATGGTCGGATGTGGCATGCTGCCACGCTGTCCACGCTGGTTGAGGAGGACTACAGTTGGGCGCGGGAGGGAGGGGGCCAGGCCTGCGTGCTCGAGGTGGGCGCCGGTGGGCGCCCGTGAGACGTCAGGCCCCGCAGGTCATGCAGTGGGCGTGGTGCGGGATTTCTCCAGGGCGAACTTGCGCCAGTCTGCACGCCGCTTGCTGGGCCGGGCTGTCAGCACTTGTTTAAGGTACAGTACGGGCTAAAGCGCTCGTGAGCATTAGATCAGGGACGTCGGCGAAGTGAAAGGAATCTTAGTTGGATGGGCTGGCCAGACTGCAAAAGCCACGTCGAGCTCGTCACGGCCGGAGCCGCTCTGACGAGTCGGCGCATCCTGCAATGCGGTGAGCGATTGCCAGCAGCGGAGGCGGGAGACGCCACGGAACGGCACGGGCGAGGAGTGGAAAATGGAGGGGCGGTGCGACTCGGTGTCTGCCCCGGCAACGGGCGCACGCCGAGTCGTCTGCGTTGCCCTAACGCAATTGGCGCCTGTCGATTGAGCGCGATTTGTCGTTGGTTTCGCGTCGAGAGCTCAGGTCCGCGGGGATGGCGTAGGGGGGTGTGGGGGGGGTTGGGGGGCACGCCGAGTCACGACCCGACAATCACGTCCGGGTCTCGTGACTGGCGCTGCCCGTTCTTGTGTCACGTTTGCCGACTTCGCGCAATAGGGGAGGGCATGGCTGAGTTGCTGTGTGTGTGCATGTGCCACGCCGGGTCTTCGCCGGCGGCACCACGGCTTCACTTGCTCGTATCGTCGGGCTGGCTGCTCGCCTGCTGCCGAGACTCGCTCGCCAGGCCCAGGTGCCCGGCCTGCTGCACCAGCGCGTCCAGGGCAGCAGACACCCCGGCGGTCGCGTCGCCGGGGCGCGAGTCGTGCTCGCGGTCGCCGTCGTGCGCGCCCGACGCGGGCTGCAGCCCCTCGGACGCGGCCGCCGGGCCCGTCATCAGCTGACGGAAGGCCTGCTCTGCTGCCATGCCACCGCGCGGGCCCGGGCCCTTCGCCGTCGCCTGCAGCGGCGGGGGCTCGCTCCCGCGGCCGGCCATCGCGAGGCCCTCGCTGCCCGGACCGTACACGCCGGGCCCACGCAACGGCGCCTGCCCGTGCAACATGCCCGCGCTCATGCCAGCCTGCGCAATCGGCATACCGCCCGACGCCACGGCGGGCACGCCGTGCACGGGCTGCTGCGTCAACGGCCCTGCAGGCGTCGCTGACACCGTCAGCGTCAGGCCGGCCGCCTGCGCGAGCCCCTGGAGCCGTGTCGCCGCCTCTGCAGCCTCTGGCAGCCGCGCGAAGAGCACGAGGCCCGTCGTCTGCGAGCCCTGCTTGTACCCGGGGACCTGAGCGACGTCCAGGATCGCGCCGTGCGGTGCGAAGGTCTCGTACAGCCACAGCCGCGAGGCGTTGGGCGGCATCGGATCCACCTGCACCATGCCTGCGGGGGCCGGGAAGCCCTGGCCCATGTGCGGCGCGGCGACCGCGCCCATCGCGCCGGGGCCTCCGGGGACTTGGAAGCCCGGAGCCAGCCGTGCTCCGGACCCGCGGCCGCGAAGCTGCTTGCGCGCCTTCTCCTTGGGTGTGTCGGCATACCGCACCACCAGCGGCATCGTGGAGCCTGCGGGGGGGACGGAGCGCGACGCCGTGAGCGCTTGCTCGAGACCATGTGTCGAGCGCAGGCGGGCAGGCAGGATGCCCGCAGGCGCGTCCGGGGGCGCGCGGGAGCGCCCTGGCTAGACAACCAACAGCACTGGGAGCACTGCTCCATCTCGCGCATGGCCGCGCGGGGGGTCTCGCTCACCCGGTGGGATCTTCCCGTGGACCTGCTCGATCGTGGCGGCAGCCTCCTCCACCGCGGACATGCGCACCAGCGCCGACGCTCCGGGCGCTACCCCGCTGATGGGCAGGATGCGGCACTCAGTGACCTGGCCGCACATCCCGAAGAATTCCTGGAGCCGGACGACATCCCACGTGATTGGGAGGTTCTTCACGTACAGATTGTTCGACCGCTCCTGCACGGGCAGGCGAACAGGCACGGTGCTGAAGTGAGGTAGCGCCTTTGGGGGTGCCGCGCGCCCCGCGCGCCGCCTCTCCGCGGCGCGGCGCTGTACTGCAGCCGCCTGTGCATCGGCATACATGCACCGGCGCTGGAGACGGGCCGTCTCGGGCACAAGCCGAGCGACTTGTCCCCTAGGCACAGGCGTGTTCGGGCCCGCGGCGCGGCGCGCCTAGTTCCATCGTTCCACGACTGCCGCTCGTGCAAGTGCCCACGATACATCTTCGCGTCCCGCGCGAAGACCGCGCGCGCCCCCCAGCGCACGGGAAATGCGATTCGGCAATTCGTTACGGCGTTGCGCAACGACGCCGCTGAGGCTGTGCGGGCTGCCGCGCGGCCCACCCGATCGCGCGGAAGCGTGTCGTTTGGCCATGGGTGCGCAATGCGCGTCGCGTCACCATGGAGGAGCCCCTGGCCAGGTCCGCACGATGGCGCGAGGAGCTCCGGCAGGCGCCAGCGCGCCGCGGTGCGCGGTCCGCTCACCTTGATCGCAAAGCGCCCTCTGTGCATGTCAAACTCGTCCATTTTGAGCGTCCGCCATCACCACGCTGCCCGGCGAGCTGATCTGGTGGAGCAGGACAGCTCTCGAAGACCCTGCTAGCTGGAGCCTCTGGCCCGCTCCGTCTCGTGCGCCTAGCCGGACGATAACCTCACTGGCTGCGATACGTCCGTTCCCCGAGATGGGGCAGCGGCGGAGGCGAGCGGCGCGGGCAGGGCAAGCCCAGGGGGCGCGCAAGGGGGGCGACGCGGCGGAGTCGGGCTCGAGCTGCGCCGGCTCGGTGCCCGAGCACATCAGGGAGCTCAAAGTTGACCTGCCAACGGCTGAGTTCCGCGGCCCGGGCGGCGCGGAGCGCCCAGTAGGCGCGGCGGTCGACCTACCACAAAAGGTCGAGCCCCTGCGCGGGGACCGGGGCAACCGCGCGGGTGCGCACGCGCGTTCCGACGGGCAGGGCACGATCGGTATGTCGCCGGGCGGCCCGTCGGGCTCAGGCGCGCAGGACTCACCGTCGTCGCGGACCCTGGACACGCACGAGGGTTCAGAGCAGGGCTCGCTCCGCAGTGCTGGGAGCCCGCGCACCGTCAGCGAGCAGGTGCTGGAGTACGCGAGGAGCATTCCGCTCCTGCACACCCCGGCGCGGCCGCTCCCCCACACGGCGTCGCAGGCCGCGCTGTGCCCTGGGGACACGCCGTTCCTGCCCGAAGCTGCGCGGCACCGCTCGCGGCTGGCGGACGAGCCGCTCGAGGGGCCGCCCGGCGAAGAGGAACACAAGATGAACATCCGACAGGAGGTACGTGGCACCCGGCGCACGCACCGCGCACGGCGGGTCGCTTCCGTGCTGCACTCTCGCGCCTCCCGAGCACGGCGCACGGCGTCTCCCGCCCACCGTTCAGCTCCGTTCCGAGGTCCTGTGCAGATGGAGCACGTCGCTGGCGAGACGGTTCTCCTCCTGGGCTTCGCGGGCCGCCTGCTGTGGCTCCTGGGCATTGGTTGGCGCTGGGTGGCCTCTCTGTCCCGCCTGCTTGTGTACAGCGCGCTCCTCATGCCGGGGTTCGCCCAGATGATCCTTTTCTACTTTTTCTCCCCGCGCGTGTCCCGCTCGATCGAATACGGCCGGAAGCCCCGCCAGCGCTTGGACCTGTACGTGCCCCGTTCGCGCTGGTTCCGCGAGGGGCCGCGGCCCGTGGTGGTCTTCGTCACCGGCGGCGCCTGGATCATCGGCTACAAGGCGTGGGGCGCCCTCCTCGCGCGCCGGCTGTCCCAGCGCGGCGTGCTCGTCGCCTCGATCGACTACCGCAACTACCCGCAGGGCACCGCGGTCGACATGCTCGAGGACGTCAACACCGCCATGCGCTGGGTCTTCAAGCGCATCCACCTCTACGGCGGGGACCCCGAGCAGGTCTTCCTCGCCGGGCAGTCCGCGGGCTCGCACCTGGGCGCGACAGCGGTGGTGCAGCAGGCGCTGCGCGGGGTCGGCGAGGCGCGCGACGGTGCGTGGGACACCACGGGGCTCCGGGAGGCCATCGCGGTCGACGAGCCGCTCACGCCGCTCAAGCGGCCGCGCGGGGGCGCCGCTGGGCCGCACGACGGTCACGGGGAGCTGTGCTGGCCGCGCTGGCCCGCGGCGCGGCTGCGCGGGTTCGTCGGCGTGTCTGGTCTGTACAACATCGTGCAGGCCGCGCCGCACCTCCACAAGCGCGGCCTGTACCGGTCGATGGCGGATCGCATCTTCTCCGTGGACGGTCGCACCGAGTTCGCCGCGCTGTCGCCCACGCTGCTCGTGCCGCTGCTCGAAGGCGCCGGCGCGATGGCTCTCCCGCGCATTCTGCTTCTGCACGGCGACCGCGACGCGTCGGCGCCGCTGCAGCAGTCCGAGGACTTCGTTGCGCAGCTGCACAAGCTTGGCGCGGACGCCGAACTCAAGGTGGGGGCGCACACGGCCGCCGCGGACGCCGGCACGTGCGTGCGCGTGTTTGCGTGCGCGTGCGGCGGTCTCTGAGCCCGCGGCGTGGCGCCTCGGTGCGTGCAGGTGTACAAGGGATGGTCGCACACGTCGCCGCTGATCGAGGAGCCGATGCGGGGCGGGACGGACCAGCTCGTCGTCGACCTCCTCACGGAGATCCTCGGCACGCGCACGGACGACTCGATGCGGCTCAAGTGGCACGAGCAGTACCAGCAGCTCCCGCTCTGCCCGTCCGTGCTGATCGACGCCGCCAACTGGGTCTGCCCCTTCTGACGACGCGGGCCGTGTGACGCAAGCCGCAGCGGGGCGCGTGTTGCGATACGCATCACATGGCGCTGCAGCGGCGGTGAGTGACTGGGGCAGGGCGGGCAGGGGCGCGCTCAGGCGACGGTCGGAGCTTGTCCGATGGCGTGCGGGAGGCGGTGCGCGATGGGAATCCCGGCCCACTTCTGCGTGCACTGCGTGAAGAACTCGATCTGATTCACCATCGACTCGTTGACCTTCTCCCTGCGCACGTCGTCGAGGGCCGGGGGTTGGGGGCTGCGGCGCGGGGCGTGGGCGGACGCGCGGGGCTGGATGCGCGTGTGGTGCGCTGCCACCTCGGGGGTGCCCGCAGCGCCCCGGGGCCTGTCGCTTAGGCTGCGCGTTGGTTACCTGAGCACGACAGTGGCGAGTTCGTTGCCGGGCTCGCCCGCGAGCTTCTCCTTGTGCGCGCGCATCTTGGCGTTCAGGAGCGTCAGCGCGCAGTCCGTGAGGTGCATCTGGTAGTCGAGCTCCGACCCGAGTGCGCGCGCGTTGAGCTCCGCGGGCGCCCCGCACATCCCGACGTGCCAGGACTGGAGGAGCTTGGTGCGGGTGTCGTGGCGCATGGCCGTCGAGTGGCTGTGCGTGTGGGTGTGCACGCGCACGTACACCGGGCCGCGCAGGGGCGCCCGCTCCACCGTCGCGCCGTCCTCCACCACCACGCGCGGGGGGGAGTTCACCGGACGCCGCTTGGCGTACGGGTTGCCGCGCATCCTCTCCGCGCGCTCCTCCATCCTGCGTCGCGGTGGCCGGGCACGGCGGCTCCGCGGATTGTGTGCGCGAGCGCGGCCACCATGGTGGGATGGCCCTGTCGTGCGGGATCGGCCGTGAGCGGCGATGAGGAACGCATCCGCGCCCACGTGCCGCGAAGTTCAGACGCGACATGTGCCATTGACGCAGCCCTCCTGGGCGAACGCCTGCCGGTCGCACGGGCCCGCGGCGACCGGGTGCCTGTGTAACACTGCCGACCGGGGCGGGTGGAGCGGCGTCGCGCACCTCTCGGCGTGGGATTTCGCTGCCCGGGTCATGTCTCGTACCCTATCTACCAGACCGTCGCAGAGAAGAAGGCTTCGGTAGGCCGGCGTCCCGCCTGCCCGGCGCACAGCACGGCACAGATGCAATGGCAAGAATGTGCGTGTCCTGGGCGGTGGTGACGGCAAGGCTGCGTGTTCGCGGGTGTGATCGATTCCGTAGTACAGTCGGCGCCCCCGAGCTCCGACAAACATGCTCCAGAGGCCCTTGAGCCGCCGCGACAGACCCTATACATCACCAATATAAGGCACGGGCCGCGGGGGGGGGTGCCTGGTGCATCCCGCGGCATGTGGCCACCAGGCACGCGCGCTCAGCCACACAACGGTGCCGCAGGCGCGGCGGCAGACGGATCCGCGACCCGACCGCTCAGGCTGCGGTACGTGCTGCTCAGCAGGTTCAGTGTCGGCGGGCGCCAACATGGAGGTACGAACCGACGCGTGCGCCACCGCTATGCGATCACTTTGTTGATTGACGCCCCCTGTATGCCGTACCTCCTCCCGAACCGCCCACGCTGTGATGCACTTCCTGGCCAGGACTTGGTTTTTTCGCGCCGACAGGCGGGAGCGTGCGCCTGCGGAATCCCCATGCGAGTGCGCACCAACCCGACTGCGCCAGTGATCCTTGTCACCGCAGGATGCGAATGCGGGCGCGAATGAGGGTCCACCAGACGGTGCAGCGCCGAACGGCGCGGCAAGCTTGCCCGCAGGCCAAGCAACTGGCCCGAAGCGACCTAGCAAGAGCGTGTTTCACACGGTGCCGGTGTCTACGCCTTCTCCAGGTGCGTCGCATTCGTGCGGGCGGTGGCAAGGCGCATTAAACCCACGCCCGCGCCGCCAAGGCCGACCCGACCTATTTCACCTCTCTGCAGGTCCCTTTGCGCTCGCTGACCTCAACTGGGTCACGGTTGCGTGGGCGAAATCCAAGACGGGGTTTGCGGCGATGGCACGCTTCTCGGAGTCGCGCTGGGACGACATGAAGGAAGGCGAGGCTCGCGTCGCAGGCCTCCCGCTGTACATCAGGAAGAGCAATGCCTCCAAAAAGGGCCTACCAGGAGGCGAACTGCACTGCTCGGGCGGGCCCGAAGATCATCGGGGAGGAGCCTCCCAGGCGCGGTTCCAAGGCAGGTCGCGGAAGGCCCTCGCGGAGCTGGAACGCCAAGGTGAGGGACCTACGCTGGCCACAGCATGATGGGCGCGCACCTTCCGTCTCGCGCACCAATCTTGCGCCTCCGCTGGCAGGCAGCTTGCCCAACATATCGTCCTGCTCTGAGTCTGTGTCGCAGACAACGTGACCGCGGCGGACGCCGATGCGCGAGGGTCGTACAAGAAGCGCAAGTTCACCAAGTCTCAACTCGGGACGAGCGTGCGGTGCGGGTGCCAGGTGTCCCTGAAATACACCACGCTCGACGAGGGTGAAGGGAACGTTCGGTCTGTGGCGGTCCGGTACGACATCCCCGCCGACTCGGAGGCAGGGCCGCCGCAGCACTCGGGGCACGACGTGGGAGAGTCTCTGCGAGAGGCGATTCAGCAGCACGACATGGACGGCATCCGCGGCTGCATCCCCCATCGCCTGAGTCTCAAGTCGCGCGAAGTACTGAGCGCGTATGCGACGATGGGCGTGGCCGTGTCTCGGGCGCTGTCGGGCCTGAGGGAGGACATCATGGCAGACTTCGCCGAGGAGACGAGCCTGTACGCTGAGTACGGGAACTTCTGGTCCGCCATGAGCCTGCTCGGCGCAGCCCTGAAGAAGCAAGAACTGCGCGACTTCCTCGCGACGAGTGACGACTACCACAACGCGAAGGCAAAATGCAGGGGGGATGATGGCGTGGGCTTCGCCGCCGACGACCAGCGGAGCTGCGAGAACATGGTGCGCGAGAATCGCCACATCTACCCTACGTACCGGCACCTCACGGCGACGACGCCGATGGTCTTGGTTCTGATGACCAAAAACATGGTCAGCCAAGGAGTTGCACACTGGAACAGGGAAGGCGCAGTGAAGAACATCTGCTTCGACGTCACCTTCGGCACGAACCGCTACAACTTCAAGACCTGCGCCGTGAACGTCGTCGGGTCGGCGGGTCGGTGGCGGCCGATCGCGATCTGCGTGTTGAGCGACGAGACGGCAGAGACTGTTGGGATGGCGTTGAACTGCGTTCGGGCGGAGCTGAACAAGGCGGGCGCGGAGAGCTGGGGCGAGACGCGGCCGGGCAAGCGCGCGGTGTTCATGACGGACTGCGCGGAGGCGCTGAAGCAGGCGGTCGCCACCACGTTTCCAAGTGCAACGCATGTGTGGTGCACGTTCCACATGCTGCAAGCGGTCCTCAAGAACCTGCACAGCAAGATCGGCCAGGGCGCGGGGGTGGGGGACCTGAAGAGGCGAATCTGGTGCGACATCGTGGACATGCTCCGGAAGGCGCGCCGTGATGTGCTGGGAGCATATATTGCATCTTCGGCGCGCGAGCAGCGGCAAGCGGACGACAGGGTGGCGGAGGACGCCGCTGCCGACATCGCTGCCTTCAATGCGCGGTATTCCAGCGACAGGCGCGCTGCGTCGTTTCTCAAGTACTTCAAGTCTCAGTGGGGTGCATCTGAGGTGACCGCGATGTGGATGCTGCGCTACCGATCGACGGACATCCCCACGACGGACAACGCCAGCGAGTGCCTTTTCAAGTGGATGAAGGACATGCTCAGCGCGCGGGGCGTGCGGTGCGTGCATCATCGGCGGCTTGATCAGTTCCTTCTGCACTGCATCTCCCAGGACGAGGAGCGGGCGGCGCTGGAGGCGGCGTGCGCTGTGGGTCTGCGCCAGCCCAGGGCGCTGCAAGAAGCGCTGCGAGTCGCCGAGAACGGCGGCGAGGCCTTGCGTCAATACGTGCAACAGTTGATGGTGATGTGGCCATTGGTCGACGGGGTGCGAGAACCCACGGACGCGCCCGAGCAAGGCAAGTGGGAGATCACGCGCGACGGTCGCTCTCGTGTGCTGGACTTCGTGGGGGGGAAGCTGACGTGCACGTGCGATCATCATGGGGTGTGCCATCACATGGCTGCGGTGCGTCAAAGGTACAACTTCACGTACAAGTGGTTCAAGGACGCTGTCGCGCACTTGGGGCCGTCCGTCGCGAGGCCACTCCCGGGGGACGACAGCTCCGAGGAGCAGGAGGGCGGCGCGGGCACCAACGCAGCTGCGAGAGCAACAGGCGCTAGCGCTGCTGTCGTCGGCGACCCCGCGGAGGGGGCGGGTGCTGAAGCACAGGAGGTCGCGTCGCCGCCGAGGCAGGCGGAGCTCGCGGCTGCGAAGCAAAGGATGATCGAAGGGATCAACGCGTGCGACAACAAGGAGCACCTGATGAAGCTCTATCGGGCGTTCCGAGATTGGGAGCAGAGCGGCCGCAACGGGTGAGCGCGGAGCACGCACCACGTGCGGTTGGCTGCTGGTTGTCGTGGCGCGATCTGCCCCGATGCACGCGAGCGCGCTCGACAACTTGTACACGCAAACCTTTTGCCCTGCAGGATAGAGTGGGAAGCCGGCGCGATCCGCAGCAAAAAGCGCAGGGAAGTGTACGCTCTGAAGCGGCGGTCGAAGAGAGAGCGTCGACGCGATCAGCGCTCGGGCGTGGCGGGAGACGCCTCCCGAGAGGGTGCAGCAACGTCATCATCGACCGACTCGGACCCCCAGACGTTGGCGCAGCGGTGCACGTGGAGGGTGCCGCGTGCGAACGAGGAGCGCGACGCGCTGAGGGCGAAGACGCGGCTGCCCGGGGACCCAACTGCTTCTGCCCCTCCAGCAGGCAACAATGCTGACCAGCGCACGGGCGGGGGTGGCGGTGGCCCGGCTGCGGGTGGGAGTCGGCCGGCAGACCCCGACGCGGCAGGGGAGCTCGTGCTGTCCGCGGCTCTGGCGCCGGACTGGTCCCAGCTGCTGAGCCAAGCACAAGCGACACAAGGCGGGCCGCCCGCGACACAAGGCGGCCAGCGTGCACTGGACCCGCGCGTCGACGAGAGGCACCAGGCGTTCGACTGTCTCGGGGAGCGTTTCATCGTACCCGCGGAGCGCAGGGCCATCGGGGGACCGACTGCTCACGAGCAGTTGTGGGAGGGCTGGCGATGGTGCCGCGAGTGCGGCAAATGGAGGACCAACGGGTTCGTACAGACCATGACGGCCGCTGTGCAGTACTTCAGGTGCTCGGAGTGGGACCCGGTCGGCAGATGTAGCGCGGATTGCAGCAAGTGCCACAGTGATGGCAGAGCCCGCAACAGCACGTGCCACCACTACGGTGCACCGCGGGGAGCACGCAGGTAGCTTCGGTGTGACGATACGTACCCGCCGCGCCGAAAAAACGGGCCGTCTCGCGACTGTGTCTCGCCTGAAACGCCCCCGACCCCACCACCTCATACTGGTGAAGTATAGGCCCTGCGGCGCGTGGCACTCGCGTCAGGTAGCCGCGGCGAGGTTATTACCAGTGGGGTGGCCTCCGCGTACGGCCACTACCAATGCCCGCAGAAGGCAGCCACGCTGCACCTGACGCTGCAAACGGGCGGGCACGCGCTTGCGACGACGATGGGGAAGGCCACGATGGGGCCGCGCAGCCCGTCGCCGCGGCGGCCGGGCACCGCGGCGTCCGCGTTCCCGGCGAGCGAGCGCGGCACACAGCCCTCCACGCATGGCAGCTCCAGGGTCGAGGAGCCCGGCGCGGGGCCGGCGTCGCCGTCGTCGCCGCAGCGGCGACCGACGACAGCGCAGAGCAAGCTCGAGCGCACCAAGAGCAAGTCCGGGGCCGTCCCGCGGGGCTCAGCGTCGTTCAAGTACCTACCCTGCCCGCTGCCCCGCCCCGGCTCGCCGTGATGTGTGCGCCCGCCCGCTGGTGCGACGGCGTCCAGCAAGCTGTTGCGTTTCTCCTTCTCGCAGGACGACGGGGCGCGGGGAGCTGTTCCCCACGCGCGCAGCGGGCGCGCACGTGGGCCCGTATGACGCACCGGTGCCGACCCTGCACCGCACCGACAAGGGGGCCGTGAAGATGGACCACCAAACCACGCGGGCGTACGCGGAGACGCAGGCGGACCCCGGCGAGCGCTTCAGGACGCCCCGCCCGGGGTCGTATTTCGACTCGGAGCTGTGGGACTACCGGGGGCGCGACCGGGAGGGCGGACACTCCCCCAGGGCAATGCACCACCAGATCCGCGCGCCGCCGACGCAGCCGCAGGAGCCGAGCGCGCCGGAGCGCCCGCGGACGGCTGGAGGGTGCGTTCCGTGCCGACGTATGGGGTTGTGTGTTGCGAGCGCCGCCCGAGTGTTGTGCCCACCTGCGACACAACGAGCGCTGACAGCTTACCTTGTTTCGATCTGCAGGCTGCGGGACTATATTCAGACGTACCGGCCGACCACGGTGGGCGGCGCCGGCATCGCGGCGGGCCGCCCGGTGTCGCGCGGCACCTTGTCAAAGACTGTGCCGTTCCTGTCCAAGACGGCCCCGTTCATGGGGAGCGGAGGGATGCGCGACCCGAACGATGTGGTGTCCAAAGCGCGCGAGTGGGGCGCCGAGCGCCCGTGGACGACGGGCGGCCACGGCGGCGCCTGCGGCCGGTCGGGCTTCACGGGGCCGCGCCGGCAGACGCACCTCGGCGTGCGCGGCGAGACGCGGCTGCTCGGCGTACCGGAGCCAGCCGTACTCGTCGTCGGGCGCGAGCTGGAGACGACGGTGGTGCTGTCCGAGCGCGGCGTCATTGCGCAGCCGCACGTCACTGGGGAGCTGTCGCACCACCCGTCGCGCAACCCGCTCGACGTGGCTCCGGGACACATGCACCTCAGGACCGCGGGCGATGCGCAGCCGTGGTGGGGCAGCGCGGATCAGCCGGAGACGGTGGTCGGGACGCCGCGGCGGACGCCGCAGGGTGACTACGTCACAGTGTGGCAGGCGGTGGACGAGGACGGGACGGCGTGGCACGACGCGCCCGCGAGCCAGGAGCCGACCTGGATGGCGGACGGCGCGCAGATCACGGCGACCGTTCGGATGGAGGACAGGGAGCGGCCCACGTCGGCGCTGTCAGGATACAACATCACCAGTCCCCTACAGAACTCGCGGCCGACCTCGCCGTACGCGAAGCGGCCGCAGTCGTCGCGTCCGCGCGGGACCGCGCGAACACCGGCCATGCGCATGCGGGAAATGTCCGTCCCTGAGGACGGAACAACAGATTGAGATCAACCCCCCCACCCCTTCCTCTCCCCCGAGGCGACGGTCCACATGAGGTGATGCCTTCGCTACGCCTGCCACAGTCCCTGCGAGGCATCGACCCAGCCGCGCCCGCCTCCAAGACGTCACTGCCAATATCCCCTGCTGATGTACCACCCTGAGGGTTGCAAACGCAAGACTAGTTGCCCCCCTAGGGGGACCTGACTGGCCCCACGGATCTTGTATAACGACGAGCCATGTGAGCTATACATCGGGAATGACGAGTCAATTTCTTTACGAGACGGGATGCGGCATCATAGGTCAGCGAAGTACAAACAAAGCATGTTCAATACAAACAAAGGCATCGATGGAGTCAGGCAGCCTTTCTTGCCAGGCCCGGGTGCGCGACGCATGCGGAGAAGCCTCGCGGTAATGCGTCACAGCTGCCGAGCCTGTCGCTACCATGACGGTGGGGGGTTTGTATGACTGGCCACTGGTCGGATGATCTTGTAAGGTCCTGAAGCCTTGAGGCCGACGACGCGAAGAATGTGACACCTCACCTTACCTCAGCCGCCCGGCCGTCAGTCTTGCGACATGCGGCTGAGCAGGAACTCGAACGCGTCCGATCGCAGCTCCATGCGCCTCATGAGCACCTCCCTCGACATGCGCACCGTGACGCCGTCGGGCCACTTCAGGATCATCATGGGCTTTGGACCCGCCGACTTCTCATTCTTCTGCACCAAACACGTGGAGCAGCGGGTGTCGTCAGCGCACGTGTGTCAACGAGCAGCATCGCTGGACGCCCCGCCTCTTGCTGACACGAGCGCACGCGGGGTCCGAGCGCGACCGACGCACCAGGAGCACGCTGTCCCACATCGGCCCGATCATGCGCGCCGCGAGATCCGAGAAGTCCACGCTAGGTCCCGACGGCGACACAATCGCCCCAGCCGGTGCGTCCTGCAGCACCTCCAGCACCTTGCACCGCTCCTCGCTATCGATCAGAGCGCTCTCTCCGAGCACGTCGTCCTGTGCGTCTGCCTCGGCGATCGGGTCCAGCTGCGTCGGCGGGATGGAGGGCCCATCGGTGCCGGGGTCCTCAGAGGCCGCCACCGGCGGCGTGCCGGCCGCCGGGGTGTCGCCGGCCTGCGCACGTGCATCCAGCTGCGCCGGCGACGCGGCGTCGGGTGTGTCGGCGCGGGCCCCCTCGAACAGCGGCGGGAGGTGCATCGGGCGGCCAAACTTGCGGTGCGCCGTCAGCTTCCACGCAGCGACCGCCTCCGCGTCGCCGCGGTAGCGCGCGGGCAGCGGCGCGAGGGGCTTCGCCGGGCAAGCGCGCCGCCACTGCTCCGGGGTGACGGCGAAGCACGCGGAGTCGTACCACCCGTTGGGTAGCCTCTGGGAGGCCTGGGCCGGGACCACGGGCGGCGCGGGTGATGCGGCCCTCGTGGGGCGCGGCGGATGGCTCGACGAGGGGTGTGCCGGCGGGGGCGTCGCAGCCGCCGATGGCAGAGTGGCACGTTCGGGCGACTGTGCCAGTGGATGCACGATGGCGCGTTCGTTTGGACGAGCGGCCGCCGGGGCTGCCGTGTTGCACCGTGGAGGCGGCGCAGGAATGCTGAAGTCCTCATGCGGTGGCTTGGGGCCTGTGTCGACCCTCGGGCGCGCAGGGGCGTCGCCGAGTCCACCGCCGCCGCCATCGCCCCCGGGCGTGGGCGACGCGTCTGCGAGCTCACCTGGCGTCATGAACCGCTGCGAGAGCATGGCAAGCGTCGGCGCACGGGGCGCGAAAGCCTTGGGCTTGTTCGCGAGCGCCCGGTCCACGGCCGACCACCTGGGTGCGCACTTGTGACCCCGGAGGCGCGCCACGTCCTCCTGCGGCGAGCAGCGGCGCAGGGAGGTTGCGAGGACGCCCAAGGCGAGGTGGGCAGGCGCGGCTGCGAGGTGCACGGCGTTCCGACCGTGCGCGGGCGGAGGCACGCACCATGAGCTGCACGACGTTGCCCACGTCTGCAGACACGATCGACCTGTGGTTGTCTGACGGCAGCGGGTCGTCGCCGTCCGCTCCTGGCTCGTTCGCGTCCGGCCCCGCGCCGCTCCCCTCCCGCGGCGCGTCCAGCTGGGGGGGTGTCCCAGCAGGCAATCCCTGACTCCACTCCTGCTGCGTGGCCAGCTGGAGGCCCCGCTGAGAGAGGAGCCCCGTGGACTGCGGCACCGGCGCCTGCGTCGCCGCGAGGAGCTCCGGGTTGGTGCCGAAGTAGTCGAGCTGGCTGACCAGCTGGAACGGCGAGGCCTGGCTGTCGCCGCGGTCGGTGCTCACGCGGCCAGCGCCCACGCCGCCCGGGTCGCCGGCCTTGCGCTTCGTGCCCCTGCCCTGCGACGGCGCGACGTGCTTCTCCCACATCGAGTGGCACGCCACCACTGCGTCGCGTGCTGCCAGCGGGGACGCGTTCCTGACGCTGCTCGACCTGCGGGGCGGGACGCGCGGCACGGCGAGATGGGTGGCGCTGGAAGCCGCTCTACCCCCGCGAGGGGCGCGATTGCTCGCGTGCGCAAGGTGGGCACGAAGAGGTGCTGTCCGCCACGGCGAGTGCGCCGCGCTGGAGCGCATCGCTCCGGGCACGGCCGCATCTTCATGCACGTCTGATGTAGTTTCACGTCGCGCACCTCGCAACCTCGCGCCAGCCGGGCCAGTCCGGCTCCATCACGACGACCTCGCCACCAGAGTCGAGAGACGTCGGACCGCCGCGCGTCTCGCGGTCGAGCACGGCCACGTACGCGTTGAAGTACCGCCACGCGGCATCGTCCCAACCGTGTGGGGCCCGCGTCATCGGAATCGCTGCCTAGTGAGAGACGGGCAGTGGAATGCCGCTGCTCTGGACGTTTGGCGTCTCGCGTCCCCTCGCGGGCGTCCGGGCGCACTTCGGGTGACGTGTCGGTACGAGATGTGTCAAAGAACACCGCTGAGCCCTTCGCCTCTGCAGCAGCCGCGGGTCCTGCCCGTTCCACGGCAAAGCATGGGCAGCGCGCGCTGACGAGCGTGCGGGCTTCCGAGCTCTGTGGGGGGATCCGGGTGAGTGAACCGCTTGCTCGCGCATGAGTGTGTCGGTCCAGACCATCGCAATGCTCAATGTAGGCTCGACAGCCGGGGAGTAGAACGGACAAGCGACCTTGGTGCCCTGACCGTCGTGGAGGTCTGCCCGCGCGCACGCTCGCACAGGCCGTTGGGCGAACCTCCCGTGCGGAGCAGCATAGATGCTCAGATCGACGGCAGCTGCAGATATCGCGGGCGGACAGGCCAGGTACCGCTGACCGGCGTCCATGCTGCACTGCTTCGACGGGCCAAGCGCTTGAAATACAGGATGGCGGCTCAGGAGCAGCAGCAGGGAGTGCATGTCCATCACCACCATCACCACTTTCCGCTGTGTGGATGGCAGCCCGAGCAGGAGGACGCACGCGTTGGGGCCCTCCAGCATGGAGCACTGCGGCCCCCGCCGCGAAGTTACCGCGTGCTGTCCACTGTCGACATTTCGCGGCCTTCCGTGAAGGAGATGTTCGAGGCGTCCCAGGTCGACCTCCTGGCAATGAAGCGGGACCTAGGGTGCGCTGCGTCGCCTGTTCCCGCCCCTGTGTTTGATCCATCTCGCTGCAGGACGGCGCCACGCCGCGGTCCTCCGCCCGAGGTACAGCCAGGCGGATGCACTACGCGACGGGGGGTCGCCGAGACATGTTTGACGCAGGTTCGATGACGAGGACGCGTGGGAGCTCGGCATCAGGAAGGTCTCCAGACATCCGCCCCACGCGCCACATGCCGCGGCCAGTCCCGACGAGCGCGAACACCCGGACCTCGTCCATCTCGCACGGTGCGCCCCGCCGCGCGTCGCTGCACCCGACCCAGCAAACGTCCGGGCTAGCCCATGACATGTCCGGGACCGATTCGACGCTCTGCGAGTTCTGGGTCCTCCCTTACCAGAGGCAAAGCATTGATAGATGTTGTGCTGAACAAAGCGAGTGGGCCGCACGCCCGCGGAGCGCCCGCCATGAGCCCGCGCCGCGCGGCAGCGGAGGGGTCAAGTATTGGGGGGGTGGACGTTTCTCACCAGCACGTCCAGTTCACCCGTGACAATGGTCCGAGCCGCGGCCCGGGGACCGCGTGAGACCGCTTCGCTGTGTGCGACGCGCCCCATCAAAGGCAGCACCGAGGTCGCACTAGTGCGAGCGATGTCTGCTATGTGCGCGGATGCTCAGGTGGACAGCGCTGGCCGACCTGGACGCGTCGGACGCGCAGCCGCTGCTGTGCGCCGGGGCTTCTCCTGCACGATCACCCAGACGGCTCCCAGGTAGATTCGGGCGCCGCGAAGGCGATGGGCGCAGCGACCTTGCCACTCAGCACAGCCGCAGAGCGCTCTCTCGGCGGAAGCGCGCATCACAGTGGCCGCCAGGGGACCATATGGAGATTTGCCTCCGCCCTGTGACCGCTGGAAGCTCGAAGATAGGCGGCAACACCTCGCTTTTCCGCGAGGTGTACACAACACCCTTCACAGGGCGGGAGAGCGGGAGGGGTGGCCTCGATCATGCATCGTGGTCGCAGGCATCTGTCCGAGCGCACCGCCTCCTGTAGCTCAAGGGCTTCCCTCGGCGCGGGCTGACATCGGATGTTCGAGTCGGCCTGCAACCCCGCACAGACACACAGAGCTCCCCCCGGGGGGTCAGGCGTGTTGTCAGGGGCGCGGAATCAGCCGTGGCTCACAGGGTGCGCGCTCACGGGATACACGGAAGCTGGTGAATGAGTCACAGTCATGCAGCAACGATCAACAGCTGGACCTGCAAAGGTCACGCAGCGGCCGGCAACAGACGCCCCCCCCTCGCCGCAGGGCGGGCAGTTGCGGCGCTATGGCATCAGTGCTGCTGCGCACGATCGACGTCACGGGCTGGATGCGTCCGATCCCGCAAGCGAGAGCGTCCAAGCACGACGCGCCGTAGTGCGGATACCGCGTATATCTGGCGCGCCGTAGCGGTGTTGGCTGCAGATCGCCCAGGCATCGAAGCAGCGCTGGCGCGCCGCGACAGCAGGCATGACGTGCCCGTGCGAGAGATGTGTGGGAGGCCGCCGTCCGTTGGCGGCCCCGTCTCTGGCCGGAACCCTCCCCTGGCGCCGGACGCGCAGCGTTCCGGAAGATCGTGCCGGGGGTCATCGGCCGGTCGCGGCGACGCCGTCGGAGAGAGAGGTCCCATTGGGACAGTCACGGGCGCGGCACCGGGGCTTGTCCGATCAGGGTGTCCCGGCCGTACAGCCGTGCACTCGCCGCCGTCGACGTGCACAGGCAGGCGACGCGGGCAGACGAGGGCGCGACAGCGCGCGCGGCGATGCTCGTCTGGCATGGTGATCCTTCTGGGTTGCAGGCGGGGGGCGACACGGTTGCGCACAGCGCATGTTGGCGCGGCCTGCTCCCCATGTCTCCTGGTACGTGCGCGGATCCGGGGCGCGAACTTTCAATCTGATTACCTGATGTGCTGGCATGGCGGCAGGTCTGCAGCCCCTCCTGCCTTCGCCCGGACCTTCGAATCATGCTCATAGTTTTCTTCGCTGACCTACGAGCACCCTCACCGCGAGGATGCCGGAGCGACCGAAATGGTACGGCAGGCGAGACTCACTCAGCAGCACAGGGTCGCACATAGCGCGTTGAGATTTCGGAACGGTTTACACCTGGCGTGGCTGCGACGGAGCCGCTACATGCCGTGTGTGTGCAGTTGCAGGTGGTGTGGGGTTCCCTGGGTGATGTCCAATGCCGCTGATTCGGAAGTCCAGGGGCAGGCATTGCGAATAATTTGTGTTTCTCCCATGGGAGGAACGGGAACATTTTCAGGCTAGTCTTGGCCATGTTTAAGGGGGGTGTCTTTCCTTTGAGAGGCTTCTGCGAATCGTTCGTAGCTTTGTGCCGCATTTGGCCGCGCGGAGGACTCGGCCGCCTTGCCGACTGCTGCCTTGCCTGCCCCCGCGAGATGCCAGGGCCCGGGAAGTGCATGCAGTCAGTGGCGCATTGCAACAGTCCTCCAGGGCAAACTTGCGCCAGTCTGGGCCGGAATGCAGGCACTTGCTGTATGATACGGAACGGGGCTGAAGCGCTCTTGCATACTTGATCGGCGGAGTGGGGATCATCTTCGATGAATCGGCCAGGCTGCCAGAGCCACGTCGAGCTCATCCAAGCCAAAGCCGCTCTGACGAGTCGGCGCATCCTGCGACGCGGTGAGCGATTGCAGGTGGCGGGGGCGGGAATCGGCAACGGGACGGTACGGGTGGGGGGTGGAAAATGGAGGCGCGGTGCGACTCGGTGTGCCCCTGACACAACGGGAGCATGCCGAGTCGTTCACGTTGCCCTGTAACGCAATTGGCGCCTGTCGATTGAGCGCGATCAGTGGTTGGTTTCACGGTGATGGCGGGGAGGACTTGAACGGAGGGGGGGGAGTGGGGTTGGGCTTGGGGGGCGCGCCGCGTCACGAGCGACAGTTACGTCTGGGCCTCATGACTGGCGCCGCCCGTATTTTCTTATGTCGCGTTTGCGAACTTCGCGGAGTACGGGGAGGGGAAGGGAGGAGGATTGGAGGGGGAAGAGCGAAAGGTGGGCGGGGGGGGTGCTACGTCAGGGGTGAGGGTGGTTGAGCTGGGCGCTGAGTTGCTGTGTGTGTGCATGTGCCACGCCGGGCCGTCGCCGGCGGCACCACGGCTTCACTTGCTCGTATCGTCGGGCTGGCTGCTCGCCTGCTGCCGAGACTCGCTCGCCAGGCCCAGGTGCCCGGCCTGCTGCACCAGCGCGTCCAGGGCAGCAGACACCCCGGCGGTCGCGTCGCCGGGGCGCGAGTCGTGCTCGCGGTCGCCGTCGTGCGCGCCCGACGCGGGCTGCAGCCCCTCGGACGCGGCCGCCGGGCCCGTCATCAGCTGACGGAAGGCCTGCTCTGCTGCCATGCCACCGCGCGGGCCCGGGCCCTTCGCCGTCGCCTGCAGCGGCGGGGGCTCGCTCCCGCGGCCGGCCGTCGCGAGGCCCTCGCTGCCCGGACCGTACACGCCGGGCCCACGCAGCGGCGCCTGCCTGTGCAACATGCCAGCCTGCGCGATCGGCATGGCGGGCACGCCGTGCACGGGCTGCTGCGTCAACGGCCCTGCAGGCGTCGTTGACACCGTCAGCGTCAGGCCGGCCGCCTGCGCGAGCCCCTGGAGCCGTATCACCGCCTCTACAGCCTCTGGCAGCCGCGCGAAGAGCACGAGGCCCGTCGTCTGCGAGCCCTGCTTGTACCCGGGGACCTGAGCGACGTCCAGGATCGCGCCGTGCGGTGCGAAGGTCTCGTACAGCCACAGCCGCGAGGCGTTGGGCGGCATCGGATCCACCTGCACCACGCCTGCGGGGGCCGGGAAGCCCTGGCCCATGTGCGGCGCGGCGACCGCGCCCATCGCGCCGGGGCCTCCGGGGACTTGGAAGCCCGGAGCCAGCCGTGCTCCGGACCCGCGGCCGCGAAGCTGCTTGCGCGCCTTCTCCTTGGGTGTGTCGGCATACCGCACCACCAGCGGCATCGTGGAGCCTGCGGGGGGGACGGAGCGCGACGCCGTGAGCGACCCGACAGGAAGGATGCCCGCAGGCGCGTCCGAGGGCGCGCGGGAGCGCCGCTCAGCCGCTCGGGAGACAGCTGACAGCTCGCACTGCGCGCGGCCGCGGGGGGTCTCGCTCACCCGGTGGGATCTTCCCGTGGACCTGCTCGATCGTGGCGGCAGCCTCCTCCACCGCGGACATGCGCACCAGCGCCGACGCTCCGGGCGCTACCCCGCTGATGGGCAGGATGCGGCACTCAGTGACCTGGCCGCACATCCCGAAGAATTCCTGGAGCTGAGCAACATCCCACGTGATTGGGAGGTTCTTCACGTACAGATTGTTCGACCGCTCCTGCACAGGTGAAAGGCACGGTGATAATGTCCGACGTCTGGCCGTTGCGCGCCGCGCGGTGCGACGCATACAGTTCCATCGTTTCGCGGCTGGCGTTTGCGCAAGAGCGCCTCCCGAAACATGCGTCACGCCCGCGCGAAGACCACGCGCGCCTGGGCGCACGTTAAGACAGCGGTTCGGGGCATGCGTCACGGAGCAGAGGCCGTGCGTGCGTGCGTGCTACCGCGCGCCCGCTGCGAGGCAAAGCAGCGTTGGGCCAGGCGGTGCGCAGTGCACCTCGCGTCACTGCGGGGGGGCAGCTGGCCGCGCCCGCGCCATGACCAGTGCAAAGGCCAGCGCAGTGCGCTCACCTTGATCGCAGAGCCCCCCTTGTGCATGTCAAACTCGTCCATAGTGAGCGCCTGCCATCAGCGCAGCACTGCTCGACGAGCTGGCCCCGGCCTTCGGGACCGACGTTCTCTGCGTGAGTTCCGGGGCCTCCCTGTACAGGGCGCGAGGCATTGATAGATGTCGAGTCGAAAGAACAGTGTTGTGCAGAGCCGCCAAGCCGCGCCCCCACGAGCCCGCGCGACCCGGTCGCGCGTCGGGCGGCCCGACAGGAATCCTGGTCTCACGCGTCCGACCCAGTAGGGCACGGTGCTCGCCCGCACGCGCTTCGCTCTGGGCCGGCTTGCGAAAGCGCTCAAAGTGAGAGACGTCGAATTGTCGGGCTTCCGAGGCACCTGAAGTCGCGCAGGCTGTGTTGCACATAGTGGGGGTTGCGGCCTGCATCTCGTGCGGGCGCGCCGTGCCATCGATCCGCGGCGGTCACTCTCGCGCTCCTGGGACCGTCGCGTGCCGCGTTCCACCGCACGCGCGCCGCCGACCGGTGGCGTCGTGGCGGTTCGATTGAATCACAGAGGCCCCGGCGACGGGTGGGGCACGTATTCACGGGCGCGGCACGCTGGCCGCCTGCGCCGCCGGGCCACCAATACGATGCTAGCGCGCGCCAGGCACAGCTGGGAAAGCGGTGCGCGCCCTCCCAGCGCTAGGTGTGCAGCGCGGATCGCGGCGCGCGGGACGCTCCGGGCTGCTCAGGCCGCGACCGGCTGCTTGACGAGGCCGACCCGCTCGAGGATTCCGACGGCCGACTTTTCGAGGTTGAGCGTGTACATGTGCACGCCGTTGGCCGCCCCCGAGTCCAGGATCTCCTTCACCATCTTGGACCCCAGCTCCATGCCGAACTGCTTCACGCCGGCGTCGTCCTCCTTCAAGCTCTCCATCTTCTCGTCGATGTCCTTCGGGATCTTCGTCTTGCAGAAGCCTGCGCGGAGGGGGTTGGGGCCGGCGCGTGTCGGGCGCCCGCAGCGACGCGCGGGTGCCAAGCAGCGAGGCGGCGGCAGGGGCCCGCACCGGTCATGCGGCGGAACCCGCCGTACGCCATGATGGGCATGATCCCCGGCACGATCGGCGCGGTGATGCCCGCGGCCCGGCAGTCCTTGACCCACTGCACGAACTGGCCCGTCTCGTAGAACAGCTGCGTCACCACGAAGTCCGCGCCGGCCTCCAGCTTCTTCTTCAGGTACTCGATGTCCGCCTGGTAGTTCTTCTTCATCTCCTCCGGGTCCTCCACGATCGCGTCCGGGTGCGCCTCGGGGTACCCGGCCACAGCGATGCCAAAGTAGTCCCCGTACTGCTCGCGGATGTACTTCACCAGGTCCAGCGCGCACGTGAAGCCGCCCTCCACGGCCGTCCACCGCTCCTGCCCCGCCGGCGGGTCGCCGCGCAGGGCCAGGATGTTGGTGATGCCGTACTCCCTGCACGCAGCGCAGCGGGTCGCGGACGCCGCGCTCAGAAGCAGCGCGGCGCGCAGGGGCGGGGGCGCATGCTGCCGAGCTCGGAGTGCGTCCAGCAGGGGCGCTCGCGTCGGGCGGCGCGGTCAGGGCGTGGAGCTAGGCTAGGTCTGCGCTGTTGCGCTGTGTGGGGGCGAGGGGTGCGACGACGCACTTGCACTTGGCGAGCGCCTCGTCGACCTTGCTCTTCTCCATGTTGGTGCACGTGAGGTGCATCATGCACTCCACGCCCACCTCCTGCTGCATGCGCCTGGCAATGTCGAGCGTCAGGTCCGCGGTGGACCCGCCCGCGCCCCACGTGATGTCGCAGAAGGTCGGCTGCAGCTTCACCATGCGCTTCATGCGCTCGAACAGGTTCGTCACGCCCTGCGCCGCACAGAGGGCGACCCGAGTGTGACCGCCACCCCAAACAGCGCGCACGGCGACGCAGACCGCGGGTGTGTGCAAGATCGACGCGGAACGCCACCGCTGCGACCCGGCGGCACCCACGAACGGCCCCGGACCCGCGCCCTGCCCCGCCGGCGCTCGCGCAGCCCCGAGCAAGGCGCAGTGCACACACGCGCGGCCGGCTCTGGGCGCCGCGCGGGCAAACCACGCGCCGCGGGAGGCGGGCCGCGCAGACGGATGCATGGTCGTATCGGATTGGCGCGTATCGCTGGTGTCACGCGGCAGCTGCGCCCGCGCCGGCCGGGGAGCTCCTGGGTGGGAGCGCCCGGCCTTCAGGCAGCGTGGGGCTCTCGACGCGCGCGCACACCGCGCTCGGACGTCTGCGCGGGGCCGCGAGCCCGCGCGCCGCACGGAGCGGATCATTGGCGGCACCGGCGCGGCGCACCGCGCGAGCGCCGGCCCAGGCGAGTGAAAGGCCGATAGCTGCTGGTGCTGTCGTGCGGCGCCGCAGCGCCCATGCGCGCGCGCTCGCGCTATCGGCTCCGGCGGCCGATCGCATTGAAAGTAAAACTTCGCCCAACGCGGATCCACGCGCGGTGGGGGCGCGGAACGGCGGCGCTGCCGGGCGCGGGCGTGCGCAGTAGCCTCGGCAGGGGCGGGCGGGGCTGCACCTCGGGGGTCTTGGGCGGGAAGAACTCGAACGAGAAGTACTGCTCCCCCTTCTCCTCCCGCGCCTTCATGATGTCGATAATCTTCGTCATCGTGCCCTCCAGCTCGCTACCCTCACTTCCTGCGTCGCTCACCCACACACCAGCCGCAACGTCGCCGCCTGCCGCGGATCCCTCCTCGAGCGCTACCGGCGTATTTCCTGTGCGCGCCGGCGCCCCCGCCCCACCAGCGCGGGCCCGCGGCGCCCCTGGCGGCCCAGTGCGGCAGGGCAGGGGAGGTCCTCCGCGGGGACCTGGGCGCGCGCGACCGGCCGCGCGCCACGCGGCCCGCGCTCGTGTTGCCGGCGCGGGTCGCCGGGCGGCGGCACACGCATTCTCGTAGCTAGGGGCGCGGGCGTTCTAGGAGCAGCGACGCACGCACGGGGCGCTGTGGCTGCAGAAGCCCTGCAGGGAGGGACGACGCGTGCGCCATCGGCGGTGGGGGCCCTTCCGGGCGTGGCACGTAGTGTCGGGCCGACGTTGGCCGAACGCGGGAAGAGGTCGTCTTGGTGCGCCGCCGAGGCCTCCCGCCGGCGTGTTGCGCGGCGCGGCGGCATTGCGGTGCATCGCGGGGCGCGGGCGGCGCGGTCCTGAGCGCCTTCGCGGGCCGCGTGCGCCTGGACGTAGATGAACCCCGTCGGTCAGGTGGTGCACATGGAGCAGCTGCGCGCGGTGGCCGTGCGGGCTGCAGCGCTGGTGCGCGCGGACATCAGGACATGGGTCACCGGCGACGACTTCGAGTGGCGGTCCCCCTCTGCGGCGCAAGTAGACCGCAGGTGGACGAACGCCTCCTCCGGTCGACCGGACGCCGACGGTGAGCGCGCCCGCACAGCGCCCTCGCTCATGCTCCTCGACGACGCGCACCGCCCACTGCGCTCCCGGCGGGCGCGTGGGCCGAGCCGCCGCGACGTGGTCGGCACGTGCTGTCGGCGTGCTCCGGGCGCGGCAGAAGCGGCGTGACGTGCGCGCCCGGCGAGCTCGCTCGTGCTCTGCGCGGGCAATGCCCCACGTGCGCCAGGCGCGCGCTGGCTCGCGCCTGGCGCTGAGCCGGGCACCGCGTCGCTTATCTGCTTCAGATTGCCTCAGGTCCGCCACGCAAGTCCCGCCCAAACGCAGCTGCGCCCCCGCACCCGGCCTCTGAGACGCACAAAGCGGGAGCCCCCCTGCCGCCGAACGCCGAGGACTCCACGGCTGGACATGACCAGGTGCGCCTCGAGGTCGTCTCCCTGCATGGTGGCGCGCTCAGCGTTCGGCCGTACCGCCCGCAGCGCCTGCGCGAGCGTACGTCGAGCGGCGCACTTGGAGCGCCGTCACGGGCGCGCACGGGGGCGAAGCGGCCCACCTCTCCGCGACACCCGCTTCGCATGTCTCGCTCTCCGCACGGTCGCGCCGCGCATCGACGCGTTCGCCCGCTCGCTGCGTCCGTTCGCCGAGCGCCCTTTTGGCGTCACTCCTTGCACCGCCGCAGGAGTCGCCCGCGGCGCCCGCGGCAACCACCGAGGACGAGGTCTCCGGTTTCTTCCGCGACCTGGCCGCGGAGGGCCTCCTGGGCGACGACGCGAGCCCCAGCGCCGCGCCAGGAGCTGGCGGCAACGCAGGCGCAGCACCACGCGCGAACGACACGGGCGTCCCGGCGGACCCGGGCCAGGGCAGCGACCACGAGGGCCGCCGCGAGGGCATGGCGGAGAGCCCCGCGACCAGCAGCGAGCGCACCTCCGACTCGAGCGGGCAGGGCGACCAGCGCGTGTTGGGCGACCTGGAGGGCGCCCCCGGGTGGCTCGAAATCCTCGAGATGTCGTCGAGCGAGGTGTACTTCTGGCACCCGGACACGAACGACGTGCGCTGGGCGCCGCCCGAGGGCGGGCGGCCGCGCCCCCCACTGACGGAGCAGCAGCTGGCCGCGCTGGCGGGGGGTGTTGGTGGGGGGGTGTTGGCGAAGGGGTACTCGTCGGACCCGGAGGTCACGGCGCGGCGGACACCGCGCGGCTCGCGGGGCGCGCCCGGGGCCCCGGCGGCGGCGGCGCGCGGGGCGCGCGTCCGCCCACGGGCAGCCCGCGCAGCCGCGGACGGCGGTCGAACAGCCCGCAGGTCGACGCGCAGGGCGGCCAGGGGGGCACCGGGAGCGGGGGAAACTCGCCGTCGGCGAGGACGCGCGGTGCGGACGGCGGCGCGGACGGCGGGAAGGGCGCGGGGGGCGGCGCTGGCGGGGCGGGGCGGGGGGCGAACGGGGACGGCGACGCGGAGAATTTGGGCGTCGGGGACCTGCTGCGGACGCTGCAGGGGCTGGAGGGTGCGCTGGCGGCGGGCGGAGACGGCAGCGGGGCGGCGTCGCCCGCGGCAGGCAGCACGCCGTCGCCGCAGCGGCCGGGCGACGTGCTCTCGCGGGTGGGCGACCTCGCGACGGTGCGATCGCTGCGGCGCGTGCTCGAGGTCGTCAACGGCGCGCTGCCGCGCTCCGCGCCCGGGGGCTCCCCCGACGGCGTCCTGGCGCGCGCCCTCGTGCAACACGTGCGCGCGGGCACCGAGGGCGTCGCGGCGGCGCTGGCGCCGGAACGTTCGCGCGGGCAGCAGAGCGGCAGTCCGGCGGAGAGCTCCCCCGGCGGCGCGAGCAAGCAGGAGGCCGCTGCACAGTACGCGGCGCTGGCGTCGCCGCCCAGGTCGGACGGCGCGCCCCCGGTGACCCGCGGCGCCGCCGCCCCGCACGACCCTGCGGTGGAGCGGCTGTATGCGAGCGCGGCGGCGATGTACGGCTACGGCGGGTCTTACCCGGGCATCCCCGGGTACCCCGCGCTGCCGCCGTTCCCCGCGCAGGGCATGCCCAACTTCCCGGCGCAGGGCAGCCCGCTTCGCACGTACCCGCCGGTCGGGTCGATGACCGCGCTGGGCTACCAGACCTCCGGCCCTCCGTCCGACGGGAAGGCGGGGGTGCAGGAGGTGGTGGCAGCGAGCGCGCCCGAGGGCGGGCAGCGTGGCGGGGGCGAGGCGGCGCCGCCGGCGCGGGAGGTGCAGAACGGGGCGCACCGGGCGCACGACGCGGCGCCGGCGAACGGTGGCGCCGGGGCCGACGAGGCTCGCCCCCCAGGTGGCGCCGACGGCGGGGCCTCGGGCGCGGGCGGCGGGCGCCCGGCACGTGCGAACGGCGGGACGCTGCGGGCGCCGGAGGCTACGGGCGCGGGGGGCGCGGAGCGTCAGCTGAAACGGCCCCGGGAGGACGCGGACGTGAACAGGTGAGGCACACCGCCTATTGGGCATCACACCATCACATGGCGGGCGAGCGCAGCGCGTCGGCAGTGCGCCCTCGTCCATCCACTGCAGCTGGAAGCCGTGCGCGTGCCGCGGTAGTAGTAGCAGCAGCAGTGGAAGTAGAAGAAGCTGCAACCTGCGCGCGCTCCGACGCCCGTTGGCGCCCCCGCCGTCCTCTTGCCGTCGCAGGCCACACAGTCGCAGCAGACACGACCTCACGAACCTGTCGCGCGGCCTCCCGGACGGCTGGCTGGCCATGGAGGACCCGGGGACGGGCAGGGTGTATTACGGCAACGTGGAGACGCAGGCCGTGACGTGGGAGCGACCGCAGAAGTGACGACGGCGCATGCGGGGGCAGGCGAGGCGCCCGCCGCGGATGCGACGGCGTGACGGGCATGCTGCAGAGCCAGCATGCGCGGCGACAGGGCCTGCACACTGGCCGGCACGCGATGCACTGCAGCCGCAGTGCGTCCGCTCGCTCCGTCTTGCTCCGCCCTACCTTGACGGCGCGTCTCGCGCGTCCCAGGCGCGCGTCGCCTGGGGCGGCCGCAGAGGTCGCAGATCGACGGTCGCCAGGTGGGCGCCGGGGAGCGCTGGCGTGCAGGCGGTCTCGCAGCGGCGCGGCGGACGTCAATAAGTCGCAGGGGCGAGGGACCCACAGGACGCACGCGTCAGGCCAAGGAACACACGCCCATGGCGACGCGCCTGGCCCGCAGGCTCAGCCGCCCGCCCGCCGCACCTACCGATGCACGTGCCGACTTTTTGCTGCTGCACCGGGAGTTCCTACACTGGTTGCGCGCTGTGACGACGTCCGCTCCGCGCAGCGCGCGCCGAGTGTGGGGGGGAGCATCATCATTGGTGTTGTTCGCGTCGCGGAGCACTCCCAGCGCCCTGCCGCGGCGCCGCTGCGGCCGGAGGCGCATGCCCGTGCAATGCCGCGGCGCACGGGCCCGGAGCGCTCCCGGCGCGCGCTCTTTGGAGCCTTGACTCAGCAAAAGTTTCCAGTACTGGTTGTGTCCAGCAAGCGCCAACCGTCCTGACGCGGGGAGTGCGGGGACCGCAGGACGTTCGGGCCGCCACGGCCGCCGTGCGCGCCACTTTAAGCGATTGCCACCCCATTTCATCACCTCACCCACCCCACCACGACACTCTCGCGCCCTCTCCGGCGGACGCGAGTGGCAAGTCGACCACCACCTGGAGCGCCAGCACGGCCAACGCGCGTCCCACGCGGACGCCATGGGCACCGCCGAATGAGAAGCGGATAGAGACGAGGTGAGCGCGTCGCGACCCCCGAGCGCGCGTGGGAGCGCGCCTGGGAGCAGCCGAGCCGAGCGCCTGTTTTGCTGGGCCCGGCTCGCCCCCAGGCTGGATCGCGTGTTGACGCCAGGGATCTGCATCTACATCGCACTATATACGAGTACACGCGTCCGACGGGTCCGGATCTGTGTCTCTGCGCCGCTACAGGAGGTTAAAGGAGGGAGCACAATGGCTCATCAGGGGACGGGCGCCGAGAAGGCGGCAACGGCCGAAGGCTCCGTTCGCGAGGCTCCTATCCGCACTCGTTCTCTGCGCGCGACGCGGAACAACGACGACAGCGAGGCGGACGGCGGCAGGACCGGAAGCGGTCGCGTCTCCAGCGCGCTCAAGGTACGGCGCTTTTCCCGGCCGTAACGCCCCGCGCGCCGCCTTGCAATCGCCCCTCGGCTCAAGGGCTCGCGATCGCCGCGCGCGCACACGGCTGTTCCCCCCCAGCCGACCGCGGGGCACGGCACGCCAAGGCGCGACTTTGGTGTGGCGCAAGCGCCCTGCGTGCGCCCCTCCGGGGCCCAGCGGTGCATTCCTGCGTCTTTCAGGCAGTTTGCGGTCGCGGATGTCGGCGCGGCGCAGGACGCGCGCCCCCACGGCCGCTCCTAGCGGCCGCCTGACTTTTCTCCGCAGCTTTTTCGCGCTCGCCGCCCGCCCCCGACACAGACGCATCGATAGCGCTCTCGCGATCATCACCGATATCAGACAAGTCGAACGCGTCCGCACCGTGCACGTCGCGGCGAGGCGTCGCCGCGCGGAGGCTGCTGGACACTGGGAAGCCTAGCCAACTGCTCTCCCCCCGCGCGCCGCGACGCAGGTGCGGAAGCACACCGCGAAGCGCGACACGTGGTCCAACGAGGAGCACAAGAAGTTCGTCGACGGCTTGAACAAGCACGGCCGGTCCTGGAAAAAGATCGAAGGTGCGCCAAAGCACCCGCGCTTTGCTTGGCCGTCGTGTGCGCCCCCCGCGCCCGCGCCCGCGCCCGCGCCCGCGCCCGCGCCGGGACGCCCCGCCCGACCGGCCCCCGCGGCCCTCGTCCCCGCGCAGGTCTGATCGGGACCAAGACGGCCGCGCAGATCCGGAGCCACGCCCAGAAGTGGTTCAACAAGCTGGGCAAGCTCCACAAGCAGGGCAAGTACCTCGACATCACCATCCCCCCGCCCCGCCCCTACAACTCCAGCGAGAACGCCAACCGACCCGGCGTCTCCAACAACACCGTCCGACGCTCCGCCTTCCCCGGCGACCCGAGCAACCTTCACAGCGCCCAGAGGTGCGCCACACCCCCCACCCCCACCCAGCCGCGCCCCCGCAGCGCGCCGACACACACACCCACGATCCGCCGCCCCCCGCGCCCGCGCTGCCGCGCAGGAGCGACCTCCTGGGCGTCGTAGGCGTCGCCACCGCCCCCCTCCCGTCGGGCGCACAGTCAAAGCAAGACCCGAACCAGCACCTCCGCCCGCCCACCGCGGCGCGTCAGAGCGGTCTCGCTCCGCCCACCCTCCCGGCGGCCATCGGCGCCCAGCCGCTGGCCGCGGACCGCGAGAGCGCCATCGCCACCGCCGTCGCACAGCTCGGCCTCCTCGCCGCGCCCGTCGTCGGCGCCGGCGCCGCGCACGCCGCGGCCCCGGTCGACGTCGGCGCCGCGCTCCAGCAGCAGCAGCAGCAGCTCCTCGGCAACATCGAGGCCACCCTCAACCGCCACAACCCCCGCGCCGAGCAGGGGGCGGGCAACGTCGCGCACGACGCCGTGGCCGCCGCGGCCTCCGCGGCCTCCGCGGCCGCGACCTCGGCCGCCGCGGCCGTCATCGCGGTGTCGGGTGGCTCCGTCGGGGACCTCTCGTACGCCCTGATGATCGCCAAGCTGCCCGACATCCTCCTCGGGGCCGTGCTGAACGCCTCCAACGTCCTGGACCTCGCGCAGCTCCAGTCGATCATCGCGTCGAACTCCCTCCCGTCGGGGCCCATGGGGCTGTCCGGGCTCATCCTCGGCGACTCGGCGGCCGCGGCCATGACGCAGAAGCTCGCGCAGCCCGCGGCGGCAGCACAGCGGCACGGGAAGTCCCCGCTCCGCGCCGGCAGCGCGGCGGAGCACGCGGACCTCGCGCGCCTGCTCAAGGGCGCCGGCGCGGGCGGCGAGGGAAGCGGCATGGTCGCCGAGGACACCACGACGATGTCGGCGCCGACGCACGCCGTGCCGCCGCGCAGCCGCGAGCGCGCGAAGACCCCGCTGTCGCTCAACCTGCCGCACTCCGGCACCGCTGGCGGCACCACCGGCCAGTACGCCGGCGTGACGCACCCCCCGGGCAACGCGGCGGCCATCGCGGGCCCGCACGGCACCGAGCCGCTGCTCTCCGCGCGCGCCCCCGCGCCGCCCCTCCCGCTGCAGACGGAGGGCGACATGCGCGCTCCCCCGGCCGTCGCGGCCTCGGGCGCGCACATGTCCTTCCTCCGCATGCTCGGCCTGCTGGGCAGCAACAGCGGCGCCGCGTCGCACGGCGCAGGTTCGGCGCGCGTGGCGCCCACGTCGCAGCCCGAGCTGCCCGCGGCCCCCCCGGCACGCTCGCACCAGCGCACGCCCCCCCTGCAGCCGGCGGCGCCCCAGCCGTCGCAGGACGCCCACAGCAAGCTCGTGTCGGCGCTGGGCACGCTCATCAGCAACGCGTACCTTGCCGCGCGCGGGACGCAGCCCGGACACGGCCAGCGCGGCAACCACGCCCGTCGTAGCGGCGGGGGCGGCAACGGGTCCGTCGGCGCGCTCTCGCACGGGTGCGGCGGCGCGTCGAGCCGCCCGCCCCTGGACGTGGCTGGCGGGACGCACAAGCACAAGCACCACCACCACCGTGCGGCGAACAACAACCCGTACTACGCGAAGCCCCAGCCGGCCCCGGAGCACCAGCCGTCGACCCCGGCCTCGAAGGAGATGCCGCGCCCGCCGCCGCCGCCACCGGCCAAGGCCCGCAGCCACAAGGCGGACGACCTGCCACAGCACCAGCAGGCGCAGCCCCCCGCGCAGAAGCAGCAGGGCGAGAAGCGCAGCGCCCGCTCGCAGGAGCCGGCCCACGGCAAGCCCGCCTCCCCCTCGGCGGCGCAGCAGCCTGCGGCCAAGAAGCAGAAGCTCATGCCGGGCCCGTCGACGCAGCAGCAGACGGACGCGCAGAACGCCCTCGCGATGCTGGCGGACTGGATCACGCAGCAGGCCCCGCAGCGGCAGGACGTGGGCGCTCAACCCGGCGCGGGCGAGCTGGCTGGACAGATCATGTCCACGCTGCTCTCCTCGGCGCAGCAGGTGCAGCGCACGGGCGCCCACGTGGCGCACCGCGACAGCGAGCAGCTGTCGGACAAGTCCGGCGGCGGCGGCGCGGAGGGCTCGGGCGGCGGCGCGGAGGGCGGCAACGGCAGCGGCGAGGAGGCCGCTGGCCGGCCCGACGCGGTGATGCGCGGCGGCGAGCGGCAGTCCGGCAACGCGGGTGGCTCCGGCGTGGACGGCGACGACTCGGGCGGCGTGGACGGCGAGGGTTCGAACGAGCCTGGGAAGAAGCGCTCCACGGAGAACCCCTGCTCGGGCTCCGGGCTGCTGGGGCTGTCGAGCGGGGAGTCCCGCGGCGTGCAGGAGGGCAACGGCAACGCCGTGGCGGCGACGATCAACGGCAGCGGCGCCACCGCCGACGGCGTGGGCGGCGTGGTGGGGTCTGCGCTCCGCACACAGGAGCTGCAGGCCGCCACCGCCGCGCCCGACAAGGACCGCAGTGGCGCGAACCTCCTCGGTCGCCTCGACCTCGCGATCAACGGCTCAAGCGCCATCGACGGCCGCTTCGCCGGCCAGCCGAACAACGGCGCGGACGCCAGCGGGTGCTTCCCCGGCGGGTTCTCCGCGGTCCGGAAGGGCGGCGCCGCGGCCCCGACGGCCGAGGGCGGCGGCAGCGGCAGCGGCAGCGGCGAGGTGGCCCGCGGCGCAGGCCGCGGGGGCACGCCGGGCAGCGTGCCGCTGTTGGGCCCTGCCCTCGCAGCCAAGCCCGCCGGCGCTCCCGTGGCCGGCGTTGTGGACCCCGCGACGGGCCTGAACGGCTCGAGTAAGGAGGGAAGCAACAACGGCGGCACGAACGGCAACGGCGGTTCGGGCCACAACGGCAACGGCTCCAGCAAAGAGGGCAGTGCCGGCAATGGCAACGGCAGCGGCGGCAACGGCAACGGCAGCGGCGGCACCGGAAACAACGGCTGGGGCAAAGCCGGAAGCAACCGCGGCAGTGGCAACGGCGCCGACGGCAGCGGGAGCGACGGCAACGGCACAGGTGGCCCTGCGTCGCCCGCGCAACCCAGACCCTCCCCCCTCCCTCCCCCCTCCTCTTAAGTTGACAGAGTCGCCGCGACCCCGGCGCACAGTCACCCATAGCTCAGTCAACGCATCACCCCCCTTCCCCGACTGGCACACCCCCACCCCTCGCTTCTCTCAGGACTATGTCGTCCCTTGTCTCGTTCGCGGCAGCCCGCCGGGCGCTGCGTGGATGCATCGGACCTTCGAATCGTGTTCAGCCCTCTCCCACCTTGTTCTCGACCGTTGAGATCACGCGAGGCCAACAGATCCCCATTGGAACTGTGCGCATCAAGGAGCACAGCCTCACGCGATGCACGCGCGGACCCTCGACACCCTCCCTTTTTTTACACTCGTTCTTCGCCATGTTTCTCCCGCTAGCCTCCTCAACCCGCCCACCTCCCCCTTCCCACCCCCCCTTTGCCCCCTTTTGCCCCCCACGCCTCGAGCCTCAGAGCCACACACCTTGTTCGAACTATCACTAGAGCACGCCACAGTTTCGCCGCCAGCACAGGCGCTCGGCCCTGGTGCACATGTCATTCGTTGCTGACTGACGAACATTCAGCCCCTGACTAGAAACCACGAGCACCGCCATTCAGCCAGGCCGGGCCTCGCACTCCCAACCGACCTTCCGGCGTCAGCAGGGAGTGGCACGGCACCTCCGACCTTCCCACGGTACAACCGGCGCCCTGCCGCCGCACGACAGCGCGCCCTCGATGCCCACATGCGCAGCAACCTGCGACTGGGCATTGGGGGTGGCACGCGTGCTGCACATGTACCCTGACCTTCGCACAGCCCTCCGGCGCTCCAACGGCACCGGGTATTTGCAAACCGAAATCAAAAGGCCCAGGCCGCGAGCTGACTGGACTACATGGCTTCCCCCGAAGCCAATTGTAGCCCACTTCAGCTCCCGAGAGTAGGTCCTCATTGGCAAAGTCAAGCAGCTCAGACTGCTTCCGCGCCGGACATTCTCGTCCGCCGCCCGCACCGCCTGTCCTAGTAATGCAAGTACGATGACACTTGCCGACTTTAACGCCCTTCCCCCTTACCCCCCCTCCCCCCCTTTACGATCCCGATGGGCTGGCAAGCCTTCGCTCCCGCTGAAGGGCCACCGCGCATGGGAGGAGCGCCCTTTTGAACCCGGCGCCTCCCGCGTTGCATTCCCCCAGCCCCCCTGCGCCCCGACGCTTCCACGCGCCTTGCCAGCCCATGTGCGCGCCCCGCCCCGCCTGCCCACGCCCTCGCCCAGCGGAGCGAGCACGTGGCAGCGCAAACAGGGAAGTTCCGTCCGCATGCTGCACCGCCTCGCGACGGGGTTGAGCTTCGCCAATCATCTGGCAGCACGCTCTGCTACCCTTGACCCCCTCCCTTCCCCCTTCCTCCCGGCCCCGCCCCCCTCCGCCCCTTCCCCTCCCTTCCCCTTACCCCCCTCCCCGTTACGATCCCGATGGGCTGGCAAGCCTTCGCTCCTTGAAGAGCCACGGCGCGTGGGAGCGCCCGCGGAACCGCGCCTCCCGCGTTGCATTCCCCCAGCCCCCCTGCGCCCCGACGCTTTCCACGCGCCTTGCCAGCCCACGTGCGCGCCCCTTCACCATGCGCCCCGCCCCGCCTGCCCACGCCCTCACCCAACGGAGCGAGCACGTGGCAGCGCAAACAGGGAAAGTTCCGTCCGCATGCTGCACCGCCTCGCGACGGGCTTGAGCTTCGCCAATCATCTGGCAGCACCGTCGGGGCAGTGAGGCCTGCCCCGACAAGTCCAGAGCGAGTAGTCAGTACCCATGACTAAGAGAACCAGACACTATCTGCAGCACTATCTCACGGCAGACCAACTGCCGAGCCCGCAGCTGCGGGCCGCTGCCGCACACGCGACCACTGCTATGACCTGTGGCATCCTGCTTCCTGTGAGAAGTTGTATGATAAGGGCACAGCGAGTCGCCGCCTCCTCGTCCCCGCGAATGTCACCTAGCGCACTGCCTGCCATTGCGCGTGGGATGCATGCAGGTCAGCGAAGTGCAAAAACAAACAATCAAACGATCAATCACCAGCACAACCGACTGCTCTGCTCTGGAACCCAGCGCAGCCTCCTTCATGCCCGCACTGGCCGGCCTCGCACCACGCCGAGCCTGCCGTCGCTCACAGACATCCGGTACGCCGCACCTCCACCCTCTCCGACCACGTGATTCGCGGTCTCATCACGCGACAAGTTGCGATCTGTCAAGGGCACAGCCGAACAGAGAGCGGCGCCTCCACAACTGCACGTCATCCCGTCGAGCGCCGGTGACGCATGCGCCTGGCTGCTGCGCGCCCTCGCGCCGCGTCCGAGTCACAGCATCACGTCGCGTCGGTTGCTGCCGAGGACATCGCGTGCCGATCGCGTCGCCCTCCGAGGAACCCGGCGCGCATTGCACCGGCCCGTCACGAACTCGCCCGCCGCACGCGTTTGCGCGACTCAAAGCGGCACAGCGCCCCGGCCCAGCGGAGCTCGGCAGCTGGTGTGCTGCCGCTCGTGGCCAGGAGCGACTAGGCCGCCAGCGCGCGCCCGGGGCCCCGAGTGCCCCCCAAACGATGTGTGCGTTCGCGCCGCTTCGTACCCGTACTGCCGCCTCATGCCGCCCCGGCGAGCCAGCGCCCCTCACGGCGCCCGCCCGCCGCGATGCCCGCCCGCCGCTGCCTCTGCGCGCGTCTGCAGCCCTGCGCCGCGATCACGCTGCAACTGACCGCGGCGCCGCATGTGCTAGTCTACCGAAGGTTCGCGCGCCGCACGGGGTCGCGCCTACAGCCCGCGCCGCCGCGTTCTCGCCTCCCGTTGGAGGGAGATGCTCTGTGGGCCAAGAGATTCAACCATCCGCTACGACCGCGCCGCGTGGATGATGGTCCGGGGCTCGCCCGCCCTGCGCTCTTCCGGCGCGCGGTCAGCCCGGGAGGCTCCAGTCCAGGCTCTCGGGCGGCACGGGCGGCCCGGAGGCGCCGTCCAAGCTCGCCGCGTCCCATGCGGTTTGCCAGTCGAGGCCGTTCGGGTCGTGGCCCCGGGCGTCGGGCGGGACGGCCGAGGACGCGGCGTGCGTCATGGCGCTGGGCCCCCCGGCTCCGCCCGGCGCGAGCGGGGAGTTGTGTGCGGTGCACGCGGAGGGGCGTCGGCCGGCCTCGCGGGTGGATCGCGCCCCCCCGCAGCGCTGCGCCTCACCGGGGCACGGCGGCGCGAAGCCCCATGCCCGCGTCTGGTGCGCGCAGCGGTCCGGCGCGTCCCAGAGCCCTGCGGAGACCGTCGCGGTGGTGGTGCCGCGCGTGAGAGGTGGGTGGAAGTCCAGGGCGGCCAGGGGCCGCGGCGGGCGGGGCGCGGCTGGCGGGCGCGGACGCGGGCGGCGTGGGGCGCGTGGGGCTGCGCGGCGCGGGCGCGGGTGCGGGGGCGCGGGGTGGACGGATCACGGACCAGCATCTGCTTGGGCATCCCTGAAGAGGCCGAAGGGAGGGTCGCATGCCGGCTTCTCGGGCTGCGCGGTGGTGCACGCCGCGAGCATTCTGCAGATTGGAGTGATCGTGGCCATTGCGTGAGGAATGTGCCGTGCGGTGCCGCGCGACGGGCCCATCGGGCGCACACGAGCCGTCATCAAACCCGCAGGGCCTATACTTCACCAGTATGAGGTGGTGGGGTCGGGGGCGTTTCAGGCGAGACACAGTCGCGAGACGGCCCGTTTTTTCGGCGCGGCGGGTACGTATCGTCACACCGAAGCTACCTGCGTGCTCCCCGCGGTGCACCGTAGTGGTGGCACGTGCTGTTGCGGGCTCTGCCATCACTGTGGCACTTGCTGCAATCCGCGCTACATCTGCCGACCGGGTCCCACTCCGAGCACCTGAAGTACTGCACAGCGGCCGTCATGGTCTGTACGAACCCGTTGGTCCTCCATTTGCCGCACTCGCGGCACCATCGCCAGCCCTCCCACAACTGCTCGTGAGCAGTCGGTCCCCCGATGGCCCTGCGCTCCGCGGGTACGATGAAACGCTCCCCGAGACAGTCGAACGCCTGGTGCCTCTCGTCGACGCGCGGGTCCAGTGCACGCTGGCCGCCTTGTGTCGCGGGCGGCCCGCCTTGTGTCGCTTGTGCTTGGCTCAGCAGCTGGGACCAGTCCGGCGCCAGAGCCGCGGACAGCACGAGCTCCCCTGCCGCGTCGGGGTCTGCCGGCCGACTCCCACCCGCAGCCGGGCCACCGCCACCCCCGCCCGTGCGCTGGTCAGCATTGTTGCCTGCTGGAGGGGCAGAAGCAGTTGGGTCCCCGGGCAGCCGCGTCTTCGCCCTCAGCGCGTCGCGCTCCTCGTTCGCACGCGGCACCCTCCACGTGCACCGCTGCGCCAACGTCTGGGGGTCCGAGTCGGTCGATGATGACGTTGCTGCACCCTCTCGGGAGGCGTCTCCCGCCACGCCCGAGCGCTGATCGCGTCGACGCTCTCTCTTCGACCGCCGCTTCAGAGCGTACACTTCCCTGCGCTTTTTGCTGCGGATCGCGCCGGCTTCCCACTCTATCCTGCAGGGCAAAAGGTTTGCGTGTACAAGTTGTCGAGCGCGCTCGCGTGCATCGGGGCAGATCGCGCCACGACAACCAGCAGCCAACCGCACGTGGTGCGTGCTCCGCGCTCACCCGTTGCGGCCGCTCTGCTCCCAATCTCGGAACGCCCGATAGAGCTTCATCAGGTGCTCCTTGTTGTCGCACGCGTTGATCCCTTCGATCATCCTTTGCTTCGCAGCCGCGAGCTCCGCCTGCCTCGGCGGCGACGCGACCTCCTGTGCTTCAGCACCCGCCCCCTCCGCGGGGTCGCCGACGACAGCAGCGCTAGCGCCTGTTGCTCTCGCAGCTGCGTTGGTGCCCGCGCCGCCCTCCTGCTCCTCGGAGCTGTCGTCCCCCGGGAGTGGCCTCGCGACGGACGGCCCCAAGTGCGCGACAGCGTCCTTGAACCACTTGTACGTGAAGTTGTACCTTTGACGCACCGCAGCCATGTGATGGCACACCCCATGATGATCGCACGTGCACGTCAGCTTCCCCCCCACGAAGTCCAGCACACGAGAGCGACCGTCGCGCGTGATCTCCCACTTGCCTTGCTCGGGCGCGTCCGTGGGTTCTCGCACCCCGTCGACCAATGGCCACATCACCATCAACTGTTGCACGTATTGACGCAAGGCCTCGCCGCCGTTCTCGGCGACTCGCAGCGCTTCTTGCAGCGCCCTGGGCTGGCGCAGACCCACAGCGCACGCCGCCTCCAGCGCCGCCCGCTCCTCGTCCTGGGAGATGCAGTGCAGAAGGAACTGATCAAGCCGCCGATGATGCACGCACCGCACGCCCCGCGCGCTGAGCATGTCCTTCATCCACTTGAAAAGGCACTCGCTGGCGTTGTCCGTCGGGGGGATGTCCGTCGATCGGTAGCGCAGCATCCACATCGCGGTCACCTCAGATGCACCCCACTGAGACTTGAAGTACTTGAGAAACGACGCAGCGCGCCTGTCGCTGGAATACCGCGCATTGAAGGCAGCGATGTCGGCAGCGGCGTCCTCCGCCACCCTGTCGTCCGCTTGCCGCTGCTCGCGCGCCGAAGATGCAATATATGCTCCCAGCACATCACGGCGCGCCTTCCGGAGCATGTCCACGATGTCGCACCAGATTCGCCTCTTCAGGTCCCCCACCCCCGCGCCCTGGCCGATCTTGCTGTGCAGGTTCTTGAGGACCGCTTGCAGCATGTGGAACGTGCACCACACATGCGTTGCACTTGGAAACGTGGTGGCGACCGCCTGCTTCAGCGCCTCCGCGCAGTCCGTCATGAACACCGCGCGCTTGCCCGGCCGCGTCTCGCCCCAGCTCTCCGCGCCCGCCTTGTTCAGCTCCGCCCGAACGCAGTTCAACGCCATCCCAACAGTCTCTGCCGTCTCGTCGCTCAACACGCAGATCGCGATCGGCCGCCACCGACCCGCCGACCCGACGACGTTCACGGCGCAGGTCTTGAAGTTGTAGCGGTTCGTGCCGAAGGTGACGTCGAAGCAGATGTTCTTCACTGCGCCTTCCCTGTTCCAGTGTGCAACTCCTTGGCTGACCATGTTTTTGGTCATCAGAACCAAGACCATCGGCGTCGTCGCCGTGAGGTGCCGGTACGTAGGGTAGATGTGGCGATTCTCGCGCACCATGTTCTCGCAGCTCCGCTGGTCGTCGGCGGCGAAGCCCACGCCATCATCCCCCCTGCATTTTGCCTTCGCGTTGTGGTAGTCGTCACTCGTCGCGAGGAAGTCGCGCAGTTCTTGCTTCTTCAGGGCTGCGCCGAGCAGGCTCATGGCGGACCAGAAGTTCCCGTACTCAGCGTACAGGCTCGTCTCCTCGGCGAAGTCTGCCATGATGTCCTCCCTCAGGCCCGACAGCGCCCGAGACACGGCCACGCCCATCGTCGCATACGCGCTCAGTACTTCGCGCGACTTGAGACTCAGGCGATGGGGGATGCAGCCGCGGATGCCGTCCATGTCGTGCTGCTGAATCGCCTCTCGCAGAGACTCTCCCACGTCGTGCCCCGAGTGCTGCGGCGGCCCTGCCTCCGAGTCGGCGGGGATGTCGTACCGGACCGCCACAGACCGAACGTTCCCTTCACCCTCGTCGAGCGTGGTGTATTTCAGGGACACCTGGCACCCGCACCGCACGCTCGTCCCGAGTTGAGACTTGGTGAACTTGCGCTTCTTGTACGACCCTCGCGCATCGGCGTCCGCCGCGGTCACGTTGTCTGCGACACAGACTCAGAGCAGGACGATATGTTGGGCAAGCTGCCTGCCAGCGGAGGCGCAAGATTGGTGCGCGAGACGGAAGGTGCGCGCCCATCATGCTGTGGCCAGCGTAGGTCCCTCACCTTGGCGTTCCAGCTCCGCGAGGGCCTTCCGCGACCTGCCTTGGAACCGCGCCTGGGAGGCTCCTCCCCGATGATCTTCGGGCCCGCCCGAGCAGTGCAGTTCGCCTCCTGGTAGGCCCTTTTTGGAGGCATTGCTCTTCCTGATGTACAGCGGGAGGCCTGCGACGCGAGCCTCGCCTTCCTTCATGTCGTCCCAGCGCGACTCCGAGAAGCGTGCCATCGCCGCAAACCCCGTCTTGGATTTCGCCCACGCAACCGTGACCCAGTTGAGGTCAGCGAGCGCAAAGGGACCTGCAGAGAGGTGAAATAGGTCGGGTCGGCCTTGGCGGCGCGGGCGTGGGTTTAATGCGCCTTGCCACCGCCCGCACGAATGCGACGCACCTGGAGAAGGCGTAGACACCGGCACCGTGTGAAACACGCTCTTGCTAGGTCGCTTCGGGCCAGTTGCTTGGCCTGCGGGCAAGCTTGCCGCGCCGTTCGGCGCTGCACCGTCTGGTGGACCCTCATTCGCGCCCGCATTCGCATCCTGCGGTGACAAGGATCACTGGCGCAGTCGGGTTGGTGCGCACTCGCATGGGGATTCCGCAGGCGCACGCTCCCGCCTGTCGGCGCGAAAAAACCAAGTCCTGGCCAGGAAGTGCATCACAGCGTGGGCGGTTCGGGAGGAGGTACGGCATACAGGGGGCGTCAATCAACAAAGTGATCGCATAGCGGTGGCGCACGCGTCGGTTCGTACCTCCATGTTGGCGCCCGCCGACACTGAACCTGCTGAGCAGCACGTACCGCAGCCTGAGCGGTCGGGTCGCGGATCCGTCTGCCGCCGCGCCTGCGGCACCGTTGTGTGGCTGAGCGCGCGTGCCTGGTGGCCACATGCCGCGGGATGCACCAGGCACCCCCCCCCGCGGCCCGTGCCTTATATTGGTGATGTATAGGGTCTGTCAAACCCGGCTGCTGTCAGGCTGAAATCGGGCCGGCCCGCGGGGCTGGGCCGGGAGAGCCTCGAGGGCTCTGATGCACGAAGTCCAGCGCGCCGGGCTCCAGCGCGCGCCGGCCGGGCCCGCGGGCGCGCGCATTCAACGCACGCAACCATCGAAGCGGAGGCTGCGCGCCCGCGGGCGTGCGCGGCGCACGCCCCGCGACTGCCGCGCGAGGCCCTTCGTGAGGACGAAATTGGGGGATCGGTCCGGCCCGGAGGGCCTTCCCGGGCCGCCTGCGAGCTATAAGCGCCCCCCAGCGAGCGAGGTGCATCACAAGCCAGGTGCCTCACCTCTCGGACGTCAGGCTGTGTGCGCGCAGCTCCCTCTCGAAGGCGTGCTCCTGCGTGACATCAGAACCGAGGGCCGCGGGAATGCTCACTCGACACCGCCGCGGTCGGCGAGGATCGGGAACAACCCACTGATGGCGGGCAGCCAGGCGCACGCCGCCGCCGTGCCGCGAGCAGCGCCAGGCGGCCCCGGGGCGGAACGAGCTTGCCCGTGTGACGCCGGGCCGGCACGCAAGGGCCGCGAACGGCGGCGTCCGGGCGCGCTGGCGGGCCCTGAAACTCAGATTCCGTTCTCGGTGGCGCACCTCTCGTCGGGCCGCGGTCGCGCCAAACTGCGACGGGTGCCCGAAATCCAGAGCGCAACCGCCCGATTGGTGCGCCTGGCTCGCCGCCAACGCGACGTGCGGGGGCTGGGAGCTGCGCCATACTGCCGCTGCGCCCTGCCCCCCCGACTCCGTGCCGCAACCAGCGAACGGCGTGAGCATGCGGTTCACCATGATACATCAACGCGCGCCACGCGAACTGCCGCGCAGGGATCGCGCGCCGGCCCAGAGAGCCCCCGGGGCGAGGAACCGCCCCCTGCAGGCACGTCCGACATCGCGGAACACGCGCCGCGCGGGCCCGCAGCCGCCGCCGCGGCCCTGGGACGTCATGCACGCGGCCCGACGGCGCCCGTGGGGCAGAGATCCCGACCTCGCGGCCCCCCAGGAGCGGCGCGGGCGCGACGCTTTTGCCTCGTAAAGTGCCCTCAGTCGTTGTGCCCCGGTGCGAGCGCCGCGCCGCCCAGGCAGCGCGAGGGGGCGCGATCCGCCGCTCTGGTGGCGCGGAGAAGCCATCACGGGCGAAACTACGTGACGTCGCGGGCGGAGCGGTCGCGTGCTCCCGGCTGACCGCCGCGGCGCGAGGGGCGGGCGAGGACGGCGCATGCCCTTCCGGACGCCCTTCCAGGGGTGCGCGGTCCGGTTCAGCCCGTTCAGCGAGGCGCGCCTGGCGGTGTGCACGGCGCAGTACTTCGGCATCGTGGGCAACGGGCGGCTGCACGTCATCGATGCGCTGCCCGACACGGGGGCGGAGCGGTTCGCGCCGGTCGCGGCCTTCGACACCGCTGGTGAGTGCGCGGGCTGCTCTGCGCTGCACGGACGGCGCAGTCGGGGGGTCGCGGGCGCCCGGCGTGCGTGGGATGGCCCGGGGGGCTCACAGAGCGCCGTTTGCCTACATCGCCCCTGCTTGGTCGCGACGTGGAGCGCTCCGTGATTTCGCCGCGCAGAGGCGCTGTTTGATGCCGCGTGGAGCGAAGCGCACGAGAACATCATCGCCACGGCCGGTGGAGACGGCAGCATTCGCGTCTGGGACGTCACCGGTGCGTGAGTGCTGCCCCGCGCGCGCGCCGCCGCGTGCGAGACGGCGCCTCGTGCGCCGCCCTGCTCCTCTGAGCTGAAGGAGCGCACCGCGCCCCCGACACTGCGCGTTGCAGCGCCCCCCGGGCAGGCGTGCGTGCGGCAGTTGCACGAGCACGCCCGGGAGTGCCAGTGCGTCAAGTGGAACATCCTCCGACGCGAGCTCATCATCAGCTCGAGCTGGGACGACACCGCGCGCGTGTGGGAGCCCGAGACCGGTCCGCCGCCCACCATGAGCATGCCGTCTTGCCACAAGGCGTCATGCCCCGCCGCGCCGCCCTCGCCGCGCCGACCGCGCCCCTCACCCTGTGGAGCGCCGTGCCGTCGCAGGGGCGTGCGTCAGGGTGCTGGCCGGCCACACGTACTGCGTGTATGCCGCCCAGTGGAACCCGCGGCAACCCGACGTGGCGCTGACCGTCTCGGGGGACTGCACGGCGCGCATCTGGGACCTCCGGCAGCCGCAGGCCACGCTGACCGTCCCCGCGGCCCAGCAGGAGATCCTGTCGGGCGACTGGTGCAAGTACAACGACTGCATCTTCGCCACCGGTGCGCAGGCCCGCGCGCGCCCGCGCCCGCCGCCCCGCGGGCCCCGCGTCCCGTGCTTCACCGCTGCTCCCCGCGCGCCGCGCCGCAGGGTCCGTGGACAAGGCGGTGAACGTGTGGGACGTGCGGTTGCCTGCGCAGCCCCTGGTGACGCTGCTCGGGCACGGAATGGGCGTTCGGAGCGTGGTGTTCTCGCCGTGGTCGGAGAACGAGATCCTGTCGGGCGGGTACGACATGGCGGTGATCCTGTGGGACGTGGGCCGGCCACAGGCCCCGCTGGTGCGGCGCTGGACGCACCACTCCGAGTTCGTCACGGGCGTGGAGATCAGCACGCTCGTGCGGGGCCTCGCCGCGAGCACCGGCTGGGACGACCTGACGCACTGCTGGCGCCTCGACGGCCCAGGCCCGCCGCCGGTCGGACCCGGGGCGGGCCCTGGGCCACCGGGCGCTGTTCCGCCCCCAGGCGCCGTTCCGCCGCCCCCCGGGATGCACATGCCGCTCGGACGATGACGGCGCCGGTGAGCGCGGGCGAGGTGCTACATATTTCGCGTCGTCGGCCGTATGGCTTCAGGACCTGGAAAGATCATACGACTACGTCTGCGGGGGCGCGGGATGGGCCGGCGGAGACGAGGGCTAGCCTGGTTACTGCTTGTGCACTCGACGGAGAGATATATAGATTGATAGACAGATAGGTAGATGAGGTGAGGTGTTACATCCTTCGCGTCGTCAGGTGTGAAACACATGCGGAAACACTCGAGCGACTCCTAGCGCGGCGCGTGTCTGATCCTCCCCTACCCTCGGTGACGCCTCGTCGCGTCATGCGGTGGGTGGCTGACAGTGTTTGGCAGCCTTCGTCGAATGATCGATCCTGGTCACGAGCCTCCACGGCGACGACATGTGGGCCAAACATTGTGTCTTACTCATGGGACGTCGCGCACTGTGCAGCGGCGCACGAGCGGGCGCGCATCGACGCGCGCGCGAACGACGCCCGTGTGAGACGCGCCGTCGCGAGCACGTGTGAGTCCTAGTCTTATCTAACACCCCGGCACGACGCTCGCTCCCGGAAGCGAGCAGGCCCTCGCGTTCGCGGTCGACCTCAGGTCCGGCCGGTCAACCTTCCCTTGACGCCCCGGGGGCGGGGAAGGGGAAGGGGGAGGGGGAGCGGCGTCCGCTCGCTCGTGGGATGCAAGGTGCCGCTGAACTGCCGGCGTTGCGCCTTCTTGCCACGGTGTCCCCTGTCGAAGCCCGATACGATGCCCTGCCAGTTCCGAGGCACAGCACTGCATGCTCGCTCAGACGCCGCGGGCCGCGCGTCTTGTGTGTTGCCCTCACAGGCGGCTCTCGAAGAATCGGTACGCCGTGTAGCCCAGCGCGAGGAACATGCCGACGATGAAAATGACCGACATGGCCACCGGACCCAGCAGGTCGTCGTACGGGCCGTCCTCCTGCAAGGCGAGCACGCACGCACGCGCCAGTCGGGGGGGTCGGCAACCGCGCCCGGACCAGGTGCCGCGGCGCGGGCGCGCGGAGCGCGTCGCCGTGATCGGTGCGGCTCCGGAGAAAAGCGTGTGGAGCGCTGCTGCTTGGAGGAGTGCTCTGGCCGTTGTGCGGGCCTGCGCGGCGCCTGGCGCGGCAGCGTCGTGGTGCCGCGGTCCGCACCTTTCGTCTGATCTTCTTGTGTCGCACGTAGAAGGTCTTCGCGGCGTAGGCGGTCATCACGATGGCCAGGCCGAGGCCGCTGAGGGCGGCGGCGCGAACCAGCTTGGCCGACGTGGAGTAGTCCTCGCCCCAGTGGTGGTGCGCGTGCGTCGATACGCCTGCGGTCGTGGTTGGTGACGCACGGGTAAGATCGGACGGTCGCGATCGGCCCGCTCGGACGCGCAGCTGAGCGTCGTTCAAGGCGGTTGCCCCCGAGGCCGCGCGCTGAGCGGTTCCGGGCGCACCTAGCATTCCCGCGGACACGCTTCCCAGCAGGACGGTCTGGTGGAGCCAGTTGATGAGCGTGCGCTCGTTTGAAAGGAACACCTTAGGTTCCGACCGCTGTTGGGATCCCATGTCCCTGATTCTATGCTACACGCGCCGTTTCCGACGTCGCCTGGGACGCAGGACCGGGACGATCACTGACGTCACTGGATGATGTCCTCAATGAGACGCCTTCTAATACGGCTCGACAAGGCTCCAACTCCCCAGCAGCGCTGGACTACTTCCTTCCCTCCTTCCCAGAAGTCGCTGCGACGCTTCCCGCTTGTAGTTGCGCAACAGTCACGTCGAGTGCCGGCGACCGCGGCATGCTCCCCCACAAGTCGCGAGCTGCGCGCCACGCACCGCGGACATCCCCAGGGAGTGCTCCTTGAAGACCCTCCGAATGGCCCAGGCCGCCCCTGCGCCGGGGACTTGCGTCTACGCAACGCCGAGCGCCGGCAGATTCGTGCGGACAAGCCGATAGACACCGCACAGAGGTGGACGCGCACACCCAAGCACGGCAAACCTGCCTCAGCTCGCCTTGCCGGTGCCTCGCGCGGACGCGCCTCATCTCAGCGGAAAGCCTGCGCCGCCTCTCAACAGACCACATAGCAGCCGCCGGCAGGGTAGGAGCAGGCCATCCGAGCGCCCTGGGCGGGGCGGCGGGCGTTTGACTGGCCCCCTGTGTAGGCTGCCTAGTTGCCGCGTGGCAGCTCGCGGCGCGAAAACAGCGACCGGCAACATGGCGAACAGTGGATTTGGTGGCGGATACGCGTCCCGCAACGGCCTGACGCGGAGGGAGCCGCTGTTTGGCGCCCCGGGCACCAGCAAGATGCAGGTGCAGGAGGAGGAGGTGGACATCGAGGCGGAGATCGAGGGGCTGCGAGGACAGGCGCGTGGCGCACGGCCTGCTGCTGCTCGCGCGACGCGTCCCTCGGCACCGGCGCGACCACGCGTGCCTTCGAAGCACGTGCACATGTACACGCGCGGTCGGGCGGGGGGGTGGCGCTCCGCGCCTCGGCCCACCGCGCGCCTCGTCTGCTCGGCGCTTCCATGCTCGCAGGTTGGCCAGCTGAAGGAGGTGTCGAAGGCCATCCGGGAGGAGAACACGTTGCAGGCGAAAATTGGCGCTGAGCTGGTGAGCGCCCCGCTCCCACGACGCAGCACTGCAGCGGCCGCCGAACCGTGCCACGACGGCTGTCCTCGGCACGCGCGGCCTCGGTGCCCACCGCTGTGGCCGCGCAGAGTGCAGACACACCCACGGGCAGACACACGGTACCCGGCTCCCTGTTCGTGTCGCGAGCTGCCGCGCACATGACGCTGCGGTGAGCGTCGCGTCGTCGGTGTGTGTGCAGGAGAACGCGCTGGTGCACGCGAAGAACATGTTGCGGAGAGCGCAGCGGAAGCTGGACGTGGCGTACCGCCAGTCGAAGAGCAATCACCTGCTCTTCGTTGTGCTCTTCGCCGTCGCTGTGCTGTTCCTGCTGTACTTCATCGCAAAGGTCATGAGCGTGCTGCGGTGGATATTCCGGCTGTGACAAAAGTGGCAGAAGCAGCCGCGTGCTCGCCGCGTCAGTCTGCCACGGCGCCGCGCCGACAGCCGGCCGCGCGCGGGCTGGCATGGACCGGCAGGGGCAGGCTCGACGGGCGGGACGGACGGCTGTCCGCGCACCGATGGCTCGGTCATGGTGTTGCGCGGCACAAACACGGCCAACAGGACGCGACCACCTGACCGCCGAGGCGGCCGGGACTCCCGCATGCGACGTGGCACGCGCTCCCACTGCCCGGTCGAATGTCTGACGGCGAAGTGCTGATATGAGAAGCCTGCGGGACTGACTCGAGGGACCCTCGAGTGGTCCGACCCGGTCGGCACCTCGCAGCAGCGCCGCACAGTGCGTCGTGGAGGCGCCGCACGAAGCAGTGCGTGCACGACGTTACAGTCACGTCGCTCACCGCACGTGTTCTGTCCGACGACGCCGTTCCCGCCTCAGTGCGCTGCCAGCAGCTTCCTAGCTCCCGTTCGTCGGTTTCAGGACGCGCATCGACGGCCAACTCATCGGAAGTCGTTCTATCACCCTGTGGCGGAGGTCCTGGAGGCCATGAGCCCGCGACGACGCCTCGGGGAAGGCCTGCTCCGTGCCCTGCTCTGAGCGCTGCGGTCATCCCCGCACGCCCGCGGCTCGCGGGCGCACAGCCCGAAGTAGTGCGCCAGCCACCACGCACACTTGAGCGATGAAATTCAAGGCCGTGCTGACGGAACGGGGCAGGCGGGCCCTGGACCGCGCGTTCCTGCCCACGCTGGAGAAGTTTGGCAAGACGTGCCAGCTGCTCCTGTCCCCGACCGAGACCCACGTCGTGGTCCCGCCGGACCACGCCGACGGCGCTCTCATCGTGGCAAAGATGGCAACGGTGCGTAGCGACAGCGCCTCGGCGCCCCTCCCGCCCCACGCACCTGACAATGTGCCCATCATGTGTCTCGCAGCGCGCGGAACGCGACCGGCGTCCTCTGCCTGCAGAATGTTCTGTTCGCGGAGGGCACGCTGGTGTGCTCGTCCAAGTGCAACGACTACATCGCGTTCTCGACGGACACAGCCGTGCTCATCCGCGTCCTGCGCAACCTCCACGACAACGACTGCGAAACGATCGAAATGAAGCTGACGAACAGGGCGACCGCGGTGCCGAACACCAGCGACACCATCAGGAAGCCCTACCTGTCCTTCTACGGCACGGTGAGCGACCGCTATTTCCACCCAGCCGCCCGCTGCATCAAACGGCGGCGGCGCGCCCGCGCTCGCAGCAGCGCGGGGCGCCCGAGTCGCGACCGCGTCTGCGTCAGCGAGCTCCGGGCCGCGGCCCACCCGACGGGCGCCCCCGCGCGTGCAGGGTGTGAACGTAAACGTCGTGCAGGACGTAGAGATATCGCGGCCCTTCAAGCCGGGCGACGTCGAAGCGCTGGTCGACCAAATCAACGCCGGTGCGACGCCACACACCGCCCCGGCACCTCGGCCTCGCGCCACAGCGTGCAGCGCAAGCAAACCGTGTCGTGGGCACTCCCTGCGCGGGTCACGCAGCACCGCCATGCGAGGACCCGCTCCCCGAACCACCTCGCAGGCGACCTGTGCGACTTCTACCTGGACCTGCTCCCGGAGGTGTCGCGGCTGTCGGTGGTCCTGGAGCGCCTGCGCAGCATCAGCCCCGCACTGTCGCTGTCGGCCACGCACGAGGGCGACCTGCACCTCCAGGCGCGGTCGTCCGGAGTGTCGCTAGGGGCGGAAATATCCGGCATCGACGTCAGGCCGGACAGCGTCGCGAGCACCGCGCGGCCCTTGCGAGAGGACACCGCCGAGGGGCGCTTGCGGGAGGCAAAGGCGCTCGGACAGGCTGTGTCCGCCGAGGTGCGCCCGAGGCTACACGCACGCGGCTGAGGCCTGTCCCTGCGCGCAGGGCGCCCGTGCCCCGCGGACGTGCGAGGGTCCGCCTGCTGCGCGGTCGCCGTTGCGTGACGGCGCGGTTGCTTTGTGTCTCGCAGGTCAACCTGCGGCACGTGAAGCGTGCGCTCGACGCAGCACCGCTGACGGTGCCGATGCAGATGCTGTGCGGCATCAACCCGCACGCGGGCGTCGTTCACATCATGTTTGCGTACGCCGACCCGAACGCGTCCGACATGCAGCTCGACGAGTCCCTGGACCTCGCCATGAAGCTGCCGCTGACCGTGTCTGCGGAGGAGGACGATGACTAGCAGCAGGGGGGGCAGGCCAACAACATCGTGCTAGTATGACATTCAATACAGATGCAGATCAACAGGTTAATGCATGCGCGGCAGACGCGGGTGCGGAACCCGCGCACTGGGCTCGCCACAAGCTAACAGCTTCCCGCGTCCGTCAACCTTCCCCTTCTCATGCGCCGGCCAGGCGAGACGTGTGACGGAGGTGTCAGGGGGCGTCCCCCTTTGGTGACGGTGGGGCCGTGGACTCCGCCGTCGTTAGGCCGCGCCGCAGCCTTCCGTGCACACTCTCTCGCCCTGGGGCCCGTGCGCATCGGCACCTTTTCGAGACTCCCCTGACCCGCCGCGTTGGAGGTTGTTTGTCCACTCGCTGCTCAATTGCGATCTGTTGCGAGCCGGCGGACCGTCGCTCGGCACACGTACGATGCTCAACGTCTCGGGAAGGATCGTCCGTTGCCCCTCCGCGGTCAGGACGGCTGCCCTCCGCACGTTCACCAGGCCTTGCGCAGCCTCGCAGTTCCGCGCGGCCTTCTCCACGATGGTACGCGCCCGATCCCGCCCCCACCAGGCCGTCGCTGCACGCGTCCGTACCCCTCGCATCCATCCCGCGGGCGCAAACTCGACGTCACGCGACGCGCTGCGGTCCACGCCCGCCACGAGTGCTGTGTGGGACAGCGAGGGGACGGCGTGCGCTGGCTCGAATACAGCACGAGCGCTCCAGGTGACGGCCGCCCCAGCTCGTTCTTGTGGCGTGTGTGCAGGGAGGCAGCAGCTCGCGTCCCCGGAGCGCCGCAGTCCGCGCTGAGAGCGAGGACGAGAAGTCCCGGCCCAGTGGCCACCAGGTCGGGAGCGGGTCCGTGATCAGCGAGGAGAACATCGACCCCGAGATCCTCGCCTTCAGGTCGGCCTCTGCTCCCGCACTCGGCCGCGGCTCCACGCCCCGCGGCGAGCAGGCTTGCTCCGGCGCCCCCTGCCTCTCTCCACCCCTAGAGCACTCGCCGTTCGCTGTCGCAGGGAGTCCCAGAAGGACGTTGCGCGGATCAGCCTCGCGTGCGAGGCCAGAACGCTGATCCAGGCGGGCAAGAACGGCGTCCTGTCCACCATCGACTCGTCCGCGGCCGCCAAGGCTAGTGCCCCCACCACCGCCATCCCACATGTCCCGCACCCGACTCGGACACCTCAGTCTCGTAGGAGCGCGGCCTCCCGGTCGCACCAGGCGCCGTTGCCGCCCTGCCCCGCCGGAGCCGTGTCGACCGCTGACCCCGAGCCCGCCCCTGTCGACTTGCATCGTGCAGGGCTTCCCCGCGGGCTCGGTCGCCGCGTACGCCGTCGCGCCTGACGGCCAGCCGTTCTTCGTGGTGTCCCGGCTGGCCACGCACCAGCACGACATCGCCGCGGACCCGCGCGTCTCGCTCACCGTCACGGCCGACGGGTTCCAGGGGCTCCAGGACGGCCGCGCGACGCTCATCGGGTCGCTAACGCCCGTGCCGGACGCGGACAAGCCCGAGCTGCGCGAGCTCTTCCTCGAGCGCCACCCGAACGCGTTCTGGGTGGACTTCGGGGACTTTCTGTGGTACCGCATGACTGACATCAAGGTCGTGCGCTTCATCGGCGGGTTCGGGCGGATCGGGCAGAAGATCTCGCCCGAGGAGTACCTCTCTGAGCAGCCGGACCCGATCACGCAGTTCGCGGGCCCCGTGTGCGGCCACATGAACGACGACCACATGGACGCCAACATCGCCATCGTCAAGTCGAGCTGCGGGATCTCCGTGGACAAGGCCAGCATGGTGGGCATCGACAAGCTCGGCATGACCTTCGCGTGCGAGCGCGAGGGGCAGACCTTCAAGGCGCGCGTCGCCTTCAAGGCCCCCGCCGAGTCCCGCGCCGACGTCAAGACCAGGATCGTGGAGCTGACTCAGGCCGCCAAGTCCGAGGCGTGAACGCCGCGCGTGTGAGTGCTGACGGCATTGGTGCGGTTCCTCGTGCAAGGGGCGCCGCGGGTCTGGCCAGTGCCGTCTCTCATACCCAGCCGGGGGGGTCTTGGCACTGCACAGCAGACTCAGTGAGACTCACGGCCCGCCGCCTTCGCCTCTGCGTAGCAGCGCTGGCGCGTAGTGCGCACAGCCCCGCGCGGTCATTGCGTCGCGGCCCAGAGGCATCTGGTGTGGTACGTGAGAACACTCCGCTCATCCGTTGCGACCGCTGCGGCGTCTGGGGCCACATCTGTGCGAGAAATCATTTGAACGTTCGAGATCTGCGATCAGACAAGCTCTCCGGCCGATAATGTCGCTCCATGGCGCGCAGCGACCTTGCGGGCTGCCCACCCCACAAGCTTCTCCGCGGGTGACCACGCGGTCGAGCCTTCTCACGGCTCCCTGCTGCGCTCGTCGCTGCACCTTGAGTAGAAGCTCCCTTCCGCTGCGGCGCAACCCGCACGCAGCGAGCGCCCCCGCCCGCCGCGTCGTTCCTCGCACCTGTGCCCAGCGCTCAGCTTCGTCGATCGTCTCCGACGCGGCCTGTGGATGCCGTCGGGCGCGACGACTCGAGCCTGCTCGAGCTACCAGAGATATCGCCGAGGAGTACTCGACGACGGACGACGAGCTCGGTCCGGCGGCAAGGGATGCGCTGAGGTGGGCACTGACAGCACCACACACTGGTGGGCGCGAGGAAGAGCTGCTCACAGTGAACCTCGACGGCGGCCCTCAGGGCATGCTCCTGCGTTCCAACCGCGCCGGTTGCTGACCATGATCGCCACAATCATGCATGTTGCGTCACACAGAGACACAAACGCACCAAGTCTCGCCGGACGCAGGCTGCTTGGCTGGGCGGACTTGTGCAGGGACGTTGCGTCCTTCACATCGACGTCGCGGGGGCGCGAGATTGTGCAGAGGATGCTGCCGGCCACGACACAGGCACGAACACCGAAACGACCCCACGAGCAGCCCCCCCGCCTGCAACGGGCCGAGCGCCCTGCCGACGCGCCCACCCGGTGTCGCAGCCCCCAGTCCGCGTCCGGCGTGTCAGGGCGGGGCGCACGCGCGAGCGGGACACCCGAAGGTCCCCCCCGAACTGAGCGCAGGTGGAGGCGGATGACTTGATGGACGAAACAGCGGCCGTGGACGACCTTGAGACGATCCACGCCGTCATGATCGACTTCGGCGGGATCCCGACGGCCGAGGCGCACGCTGCGCTCCGCCGGGCGCGCGCGGGGGGGGTCCTGCAGCCCACGCAGCTGCACGCGATCGCGCAGATGCTCGCCGGCGCCCAGCGGCTGCAGCGTGCGACCATGATCGCGTGCCGACGCGTCCGCGACGAGCTGGGACACAAGTCCGACGCCTCCGGGGCCCTCGCTCCCGTCTCCAGGCGCATGGAGCCCATTTCTGCACAGCCACAACTCGTGTCTTCCATCAGCAGGCACGCCCCCGCCGACCCTTCGCCCCCGCAGTCCGTCGCAATCCTCAGCGCGCACACATCCGTGCCGACGTTCGTTCGGAACGCTGTGCTTGCAGGGCGATCGGGGAGGACGGGGAGGTCCGCGACAGTGCGTCGGACGAGCTCAGAGGAGCACGCAGCCGGCTGCGCACGCTGCAGGGCCGGCTCAAGTCCGTCGTTGGCGGGTCTACGGGCGAGGCGACCACGTACAACGGCCGTCTGTGCCGCGTGATGCCGACTGCGGATGCTGCGTCGGTGGGGCTCGTCCTCGGGCCCGCCGGCGCGGGGATGTCGTACGTGGAGCCGCGCGCCGCGGTGCCGCTGAACGAGGAGCTCCAGGCCGCGGCGCAGGCCGTTTCGGCTGCGGAGACGGAGGTGTTGATGGGGCTGAGTGCCGCAGCCGCGGCGTGCAGCCAGGACCTGACGCAGGCGCTCGACGCGGTGGTGTGGCTGGACGCGACGGTCGCGCGGGCGCGGTACAGCCGCTGGCTCGACGCCGTGCGGCCCGAGACCACGCGCTTCCCGACCAGCGCCGTCGCGAAGGCGCGCAAGGGCGGCGCTGGCGACGACGCAGAGGCGGGGTACGTGCGGCTGCGCGGGCTGCGGCACCCGCTGCTGGCCGCGGAGCACAAGCGGTGGCGGGAGCAGGAGCAGCGCGCGGAGAAGTCCAAGTCTGCGGGCGGGCGCGACCTGCTGAAGCGGCTGGCGGCGCAGGGCCTGGCGCGAGCCTCGTTCGACGACGCAACCGACGAGGAGGACGCGCCGGAGCCGCCCGTCGAGCCGGTGCCGATCGACATTGAGATATCCGGCCCCGTGCGGTGCGTCGTGGTGACCGGGCCGAACACGGGCGGCAAGACGGCGCTGCTCAAGGCGCTGGGTCTGTGCGCGCTCATGGCGCGCTCGGGACTGTACGTCCCGGCGTCGGCGCCCGCGCGGCTGCCGGCGTTCTCGAACGTCCTGGCCGACATCGGCGACGAGCAGTCGCTGTCGTCGTCGCTGTCGACGTTCTCCGGACACCTGTCGCGCATCCAGGCGCTGCGCGCCGAGTCGGACTCACGGTCGCTGGTGCTGCTGGACGAGGTCGGGACGGGCACGGACCCCGCGGAGGGCACGGCGCTCGGCGCGGCGCTCCTGCAGCGGCTCGTCAAGGGCGGCCCGGGCGGCGCGGGCCTGTCGCTGGCCACCACGCACATGGGCCTGCTGGCGAGCCTCAAATACAACGACCCGCGGTTCGAGAACGCGTCGGTCGAGTTCGACGCGGAGAAGCTCGCGCCGACGTACCGCGTGCTGTGGGGCGTGCCGGGCCGGAGCAACGCGATTGCCATCGCCGAGCGGCTGGGGATGGAGGGGGGGGTTATCGAGTCAGCGCGCGATCGGATGGGGCGGGCGGCGCGGTCCGTGCTCGCGCTGACGGAGGAGCTGGAGAGCGCGCGGCTGGAGGAGGAGGAGCTCGGGGCGCGGCGCGAGGCGAGGGAGAGGGAGGCTGCAGCGCTCAAGGCACAGGTGTCGGCCTTGAAGCAGCGCGCCGCGCAGCACGAGCGCGACACGGCCGCCAAGGGCGCGCGCGCGATGAAGAAGCACCTCAACAAGGCGCTGTCGGACGTGCGCAAGGCGGCGCGGACTGCCGCGGCTCATGCCGCGAATGCAGACGTCGCAGGCACAGGCGCCGCGGGGGCGCCCGCGCCGGCGGCGGCGGCGGCGGAGCAGTCCGCCCCGGCGAAGGGGTGGACGCCGTCGGCGGGCGACGCGGTGTCGGTGCCGAAGCTGCGCGGGAGGGGCACGGTGATCGAGGCGAGCGGGAAGCAGGTGACGGTGCAGGTGGGCCTGATGACGGCGACGGTCAAGGTGGACGAGGTGCTGCCGGTCAAGTAGAGCGCGGTGCGACACCGCGGCCGGGGCGCGTCGTCGCTGTGAGGTCGCGGGGGCGGTATCGATGCTCGTGCCATAGTTCTTCGCGCACAGGGGCAGACGGCCCCACTGCCGGAAAGGCCTCGTGGCGGCGCTAGGACGGCGCGGCCGGCGAGCGCGAGTCGATGCGAGGAACTGGGGGCTGGCTGGCGAGCGGGGATGGCGTGGTGCGGAGGTCGCGTTACACGCAGGGTGCTGTTCCCAGGTCCTGCGGGCGGGCGGCCTGGCGAGCTCGCTGCGCGCGGGCTGCCGCGGGCTAGCCGTGCGCGTCTGCTTGCTGCTGTGCCTTGCTGTTTGCAGGGGCGCAGGTCTCGGGGAGGTGGCAGGTAGTGTGGAGGCAGGTGCCTCGCAACGGGCGCGTCCATGCAGGAGGTCCGGTGGCTTTCCCGGTCTTGAGCGTGCAAGGCAGGGTGTCGTTCCGGGGGCAGAGGCCGCGGTGGCCCGGTCTCGGGAGCCGCGCTGCCGCGAGTGTGGGCCGGGAGATGGGCGGTTGCGCAGCCGCAGGGCCGCTGGCGACGCCCGCGTCCGGACCTCTGTCCCGCCTGTGAGGTTACTCGTCCGCGGGGGCGGCGAGCGGCGCGAGCACCATCTGCCCCTTGTGGCCGCGATTGCGGAACGAGGAGTGTGCCTGCAGCTGCTTCCTCTGCGTCTTCTCGTCGACGTTCTGGTCCAAGCGCTCCCAGCGGGACACGGCGTGATGCTTCTCGTGCGTGTGCTCGTCAGCGAAGTTCAGCTGCGGCGCAGAGGTTGACAGGGGGGCAGAGTGAGGAGCCGAGGAGTGGTTGGGTGAGGGCGCGCGACAGCGGGGAGGCGGCTTCGACTCGGAGAACGAGACGGCGCGCCTCGGAGAGACAATACGGAAACGGCAAGGGAGCACTCCCGGGCGCGCGGGGAAGCTGTGTGCGGGGGCCGCGGCGAAGTCAGTTGAAACCGGTTCGAGCTCACCGTTGGGTTGAGGGATCCCTTGAAGCGGTTCATGGCCTTCACCATGCTACCGAGAATCCTGAAGCGCTTGTGCTTCGGTGCAGCCTGCGCGGGCAGCGGCGGAGGGGGCGAGGGTCGGGCGCCGAGCACAATCGCTCCGCGCCGCGGGAGCATGCTGGGCGTTCGCTGCGCCACTGCCGCGGAGCGACCCGCTGCCGGGCGCGTGCGGCGGCGGTTCGCCGAGCTGCACCTGAAGAACAGTGCGGGGCTCCGGCCCGGACTCGCGCGGCTTCTTGAAGGAGGGGCTGGCTTCAGCCTCTCCTGGTTCGCGCTTCCCGGCCAGGTTCCGGCTGTTCGACCGTGAGCTCAGGCGCCCTTCGTCGTCGTTGGACGCCACCTGCGCCATCGTGCAGGTGCGCTCCGCGGCTGAGGCGCGCCGCGACGGGCGCGGCGAGGGAGCGCGGTGTGCGGGCTGGTCGCTGCCTCGTCAGCAGCGTCGCGAGCGATCTCGGGGTGCGCGGTGAACGATGTGTGTGGGGCTGGGCGAGCAGAGTGCCGCGCGTGCTCGTCGCCGCGCGCCGTCGTGCGGGCCGGGCGCGCGTCGCACGACGGGGGGCCCGCCGCGGACGATGTCAGGTGTGCGTGGCGCGCACCTTCGCGGATCCCGGCATCGCTCGAATTAGCGCTATCTCTCGCGGGGGAGGAGGGGCGGAGGGAGACGTGGCAAGGTGCTGCCGATGTCGATCGAGAGGCCTGCGGGAGGGCGGGGCGGGCGCGAGCGGGGCTGTTGGGCCTGTGGGTGGGTGGTTGTGCGGCGCGCGCTGCCGGCCCCTCGGTTCCAGCTGGGAGGTGCACGGGCGGGTGAGCATGCTCGCGTGATGCGACGCTGGAGGGCGGCCGGGCCCAGGAACGGTGCGCGCACGGCCGCGTGGGCACCTTTGCCGCGCAGGGCAAACGTCACCCTACGCCCGCGGTCTACCGGGAGGAGGTCGCAATATCGCGCGCGGAGTCTCCCCGCAACACTGCTATTTCGACGAGGGGTGTCGCGGAGCCCGCGGTCGGAGCAACGCTCGGGGACCGGCGCGTCTCGACAATGCCTCCTGGTTCGACGTTCCGACGCGGCGCTCGCCGCCGGCGGGACGTCGCCGGGCGCGGCTCGATGCGAGGGAGCAAAACGCCGCCAAAGGTGCCGCGGGTACTCGGCCATGCATGCGAGAATGCCGTGCAGGCAAGGTGGTGCCCGAGGGTCAAAGCCGCCGTGCCGCCCCGCTCGAACGGCCAGGCGTGTCAAGGGTGCGCGTTCCTGGTACTCTGAGTTGAGGACGGGCGCTACGGGAGGTGCACACCTTGGGTTCGACTCGAGCGCGTTGTCAGGCACTCCTGTGCTTGCAAGGTGCTAGTCGAGGTACGTGTTAAGAGTTCTCTGTTGAAAGTCAGTGTCAAGATATGACGTCCTCATGCGTGGGCGGGCGGCATTCTGCCCGCGGCCGCGTGCGGCACCGGCGTGCTGATGTGGCCTGACACCGCTCACACAACGCCCCCATGACGCCGCTCACGTGCCACCCTGTCGCACACGAGCGGGCAGCCCGCCACACGGAACGACCCTTCGCCTCACGGAGGCTGCTTGCCGCGCCACACGCCCGGCCGCGGCAACGCGACTCAAACACCGAGACACGCAGGAAACACCTGCACCTGCACACGACGCGCTGCCTCTGCCTCGGCCGTTGCCCGAGCCGCGGAGTGCGCACTGCGCGCCGCCGAGCTCCCGGCGCGTCCAGGCGCCCGCGCGCCCACAGGCGCTCTCCGCCGTGCCGCAGACGGCACGAGAAGCTGCAGCGGAGCTCACATCGCGAAACGACACCGCCTCCGGGGGCGCTCTGCGCAGGCGCGCGCCCCCGCGCATGCACTGGCGCCGTGTGCGTCCGGCGCGGCCCCTACGCGCGCCCCCGGCGCGGCTGATCGTGCGCCACGACGCGGTCAGTACATGGGCTCGAACGGGAGCGCGTCGTCCCGCTGCAGCCAGTTCTCCGGAGACCACGTGTACCCCTCGCCGCCCTCGACGACGTGCAGCGTGTACGCGTGCCGCGACCGCGTCCCCGTGTTCTCCTTACTCATGTGCAAAACCTCCCCTGCAACACACCCCAAGGAGACCGCACGGGCCCGTCAGCGCGCCGGCCGGCACCCGCAGCGGCCCGCGCAGTGCAGCAGGAACCGCGCGACACACCGTGGATGAGCACCAGCGTGCCCGCCGGCACCGGCACCGGGACGAGGTCCGCGCTGGTGTACTCCGGCGGCACGTCGCGGTCGAACGTCACGGGGCCGCCCGAGCCCTCCGCGCGCACGAACCGCCGCCCCACGCCCTGCTCCTGCGACCCGGGCGCGAACCACATGCACCCGTTGCCCTCGTCCGCGTCCTCCAGCGCCAGCCACAACCCCACGCAGCTGGGCCTCGGGTCCGTCCACAGGAACGTCGAGTCCTGCGGCGGTGCGGCCGATCGGCGGGCGGTGGGCGCACGGGCCGGGGAAGGCAGGGGCCGCTGCCGGGCGGCGGGGGCGCGCTCGGGAGGCCGCGAGGGGCGACGCGGCGGCGTGCGTGTTGTGGCGGGGAGCGGCGTCGCGCGGATGCACGGGCGGTCGCTGCGCGGCGCACCTGGTGCGGCACGACCTCCCCGCCGATGCCGGGCTGCTTGAAGATGTACATGGACTGCACCGGCGTAGGATGCGCGTAGCCCAGCGACCGCAGCACGCCCTGGAAGCGCTCCGACCGCGAGAACGACCTGAACTCTGGGTCGATGTCGTGCAATGCGTGGCCGACCTGCGGCTCGGTTGCGGCGCGTCGTGGGCCCGTGTTGGCGCCGAGATCGCAACATGTAGATGTTGCCCCCCCGTCGCAAGTGCGCGGCCACGGCCCCGCTCGGCACGCACCTTGTTGATCGCGCGGTCCTTGGGTACCGTGAGCTCGCCGTCGGCGCCCAGCGCCCCCTCCTCGAGGAAGTACCCGATGCCCGAGGCACTCCTCATGAAGTAGTCGTCGCTCTTCTGCTTCCGCGTGGAGAACACGCTCCGCTGCTCGGCGGGATCGAACCGCTCCACGATCATCCCCATGCGCCGCATCAGCCCCGCGCATTCTTCGCGCGACGCGAACCCCTCGAGCGCCACGTACCCGTCCCGCCGGTACTGCTCCACCTGCGCGTCCGAGTTGGCGGTCGAGACGGCGGCGGTCGCGCGTCACGCAGCAGGATGCATGAGCGCAAGTGCGTGCGGCCGAGTAACGTCAGAACCCCCGTGGTGAGCGACTTGAGGACTGTGCCAGAGCGCTGGTGCAGGGTCGCCCTCGCAGCGTGCCTGCGACGCACGAAGAGCCCACGAACGTCTGCGTAACTCGAGTTCTAGGTCAGCCTCACCTGTTCGTCCGTGAGCCCGGCCGCGTAGTCCTGCGAGGCGGTGCTCAGCGCCCTCCTGGCCACGTTCGACACAGTGCGCCGGGCCTTGCACATGCCGCAAAGGCTGGCACCGTGAGGGCGGCCCGCTGCACGCACGCTCGCATGTGGCCGCGAGGGCGCTCGCAGGCAGGCCCGCTGCATCCTGTCGACCGCGTGCGAGCCCAAGCAAGAAGACCAAGTGCCCAACAGGTGCGGAGAGACCGTCCTGAGCGCACGCTGTTGCTCGCTGGAGCAGCTGTGCTCTTGCGGGGCTGCAACTGCGATCGGCCGAGGCTGTGTTCGCGCCGTGGCCCCGAGGCGTGCCTGACACGACGACTTATACAACCCCTCAAGGCTGGTAGAAGACGTGCCTGACGCCACAGGCGTGCTGGAGAAGATGGTGCTCGAGAGGAGGCACCAGGGCCACTGCGGAGTTGGATTTCCACAGGCAAGGCAAGTGCCGGCAGCTGCTCTCCCTGTTGCAGACCACGATGTGGCCCCCGCTGCGCTCGCCCTTCGCGCAATCCCCCCTCATATCTGCGCGCACGAATTCGCGGTGTCTCGTCACAACGGTTCGCCCCTCAGATGGGCCCGTCGAGGCCCGTCAGCGAGGCGATGCGCGCTCTCTTACCATGCTCCAACAGCTCCCTGTGCCGCTCGTGGAGAGGCGATGCCGACCACTCATACCACGTCGTCAGGTGTTCATAAATCATCCGTCTCGATGCGGCGGTTTCATAGCCAATGGGCCCCTGTCGAGCCACTGCGACGCCCCATCCTTTCCTGCCACAAGACCGCCCGTTATTGCACTCCACGGGCAGTCGATCCCTGCACGACAGACCACCCGCACGAGCGTGCCGGCGCCGTCGAGCCACGGCCGCCCCGCGCGCCGCGTCGCCTCCGCGTGTTTCCGCGGTCCCGGACTGACCCTGCTCTCTGGCGCCCCCCTCGCAGAGCTCCGGCAAGCCTGGGCAACATGGCCACGCTCCTGCGGCTGACCACCTCCACTGTCGCCCGGAACGCCACCACGAAGTGTCTGTCGCGCAAGGCTGCGTCCGCACACGCCGCATTCGCACGCAACGTTCTTGCGTCGCCGCTCCAGAGCAACACCCGCGGCTCCCGCTCCCTCAGGTGCGCGTGATAGGTGCCGCGCGACCAGCCGGCGCATCGAGCTTCTCACAGGCTTCCTCGCCCTCGTTCGACGGAGCGCCTCGTGGCTCCTGTACGTCAACAACGCCCCGCTCAGTTGGCGCTCAACCATCCCGGTCGCAGGTCTTCTGTGGTGGCCATGGGCGTCAAGATCGCGTCCCTCCCGGCGCCGTTCCTCCCGGAGAAGTTCCCTGCGGTGACCGTCGAGGCTCCCTACGACGGCTCTTGGAAGGGCGACCTGCTCTGCCTGGGCGTGTACGATGACGCAATCGACGGCACGACGATCAAGGACGAGGCGCTCTCGAAGCTCGACCAGACCTTCGGCGGCGCGCTCTCGGAGGTGAGCCCCCGCGCGCACAGAATCACCCCCAGTGCGACCCGCACCAGGGTGAGGCGCTCCTCCCTTGCCTGGCCGTCGCCCGGCCGCCCACCGTGCAATGCTGCCGCGGTCGTGTGGCGCAGATCATCGCTGACTTCGAGTTCAAGGGAGCGGCGGGGTCGTCGCAGTGCGTGCGCGTCGGCACCGCGGGCGCCAAGTACGTTGCTCTGGTCGGCCTGGGCAGCGCCTCCAAGGTGCGCAATGCCGGAGTGCACGCCTTCCGCCCGGGTGCCATCGGCACGAGGCACACCTGACCGCGCTCCGGCTCGCTCGACATGGGCTCGGCCTGCGTCCTCGGGCCCGGCACATCGCCTGGTGCATCTGATCCCACTCCCGGCCAGATCCCCGCCAAGGCCCGACCCGAGTCCCCCACGGTGCGCCTGCAGGCGGCGGAGAAGTGCAAGTGGGGGCCGTCTGTGTTCATGCAGCTCGGCGCGGCGATCGCCGGCCTCGCGAAGAGCAACAAGGCTGTCACCGCTGCCGTGCACATCGTCGGCGGGTCCGCGAGCGCCACGGACGTCGCGCGCGGGGTCACGCTGGGCGTCCTGAACGGCGCCTACGAGTCCACGCGCTTCAAGGCCAAGCCCACGCTGTCGAAGCTCGAGAGCCTCGCCGTCTGCGTTGGCAAGAGCGCCGAGGCGGACGCCGCCGTGGCCAACTCGACCGCCTTCGCCAAGGGCTGCACCATGGCCAAGTTCCTCGTCGAGGCGCCCCCCAACGTCTGCACCCCCACCTACCTCTCCCACTGCGCCCAGGAACTCGCCAAGGAGTACCCCGACGTCATGACCTGCAAGGTGCGCCCACGGCCCCCAAGCCGACCTCCTCCGCGACCCGCGCCCCCCCACGCAAGGCGCACGCGCTGCGCCGGGTGCTGACGCGCGCGCGCGTGCGTTGCGTCGCTTCGGCTCGTCGCAGATCCTGGAGCGCGAGGACTGCGAGAAGATGGAGATGGGGAGCTACCTGGGCGTGGCGGCGTGCTCGGACGAGCCGCCCAAGTTCATCCACCTGTCGTACAACCCGCCGGGCGGGTCCGCGAAGAAGACGCTGGTGCTGATCGGCAAGGGTCTGACGTTTGACTCGGGGGGCTACAACCTCAAGCCGGCGGGGTCGATGATCGAGCTGATGAAGTTCGACATGGGCGGATCGGCCGCGGTGCTGGGCGCGGCGCGCACGCTCGCGGACCTGAAGCCCGCGAACGTGGCCGTGCACTTCATCGTCGCGTCGTGCGAGAACATGATCGACGGCGCGGGCATGCGCCCGGGCGACATCCTGCGCGCGGCGAACGGCAAGACGATCGAGGTCAACAACACGGACGCCGAGGGCCGCCTGACGCTGGCGGACGCGCTGATCTACGCGGAGCGCGAGTGCAAGCCCGACGCGGTGGTGGACATCGCGACGCTGACGGGCGCGCAGTTCGTGGCGCTGGGCAACGGCATGGCGGCGTTCTACACGAAGGACGACGGCATGGCGGACGACATCCGCGAGTCGGCGACGCACACGGGCGAGAAGATCTGGCAGATGCCGCTGGAGGACTCCTACATGGAGCAGCTCAAGAGCGTTGTGGCCGACATGAAGAACACCGGCGGGCGCTGGGGCGGGTCAATCACGGCCGCGCTCTTCCTGCAGGAGTTCATCTCCACCGACAAGATCCAGTGGGCGCACATCGACATGGCTGGTGAGAACGCTCACCCGACAGGGTGCTGACGCTGCGCAGCGCCGTCCGGGCTGTAGGCGAGGGCGGAGCTGACATGTGCGTGCGCTGCGTGCGGTGCAGGCCCTGCTTGGGACGAGAAGGTCGGCGGTGCGACCGGGTACGGTGCCAAGACGCTGGCGCAGTGGGTGATGACCACCTCGGAGAAGGCGTGATGGTGCCGCCGATGGTGCTGGGCCTGCTGACTGCACTAGCGTCTCGCAGGTCGGCCCGACGCATCGGACGTGTAATTGGATGCTTCGGAGCGGGACGTGATACGTTCCACACGCATGTGCTGCTGAGTCAATGTTTTGCTCGCAACGAGGGGCGCGCAGGCGCGTGACAGCGGCGAACTCCGACGTGGCACATTCGTGTTACATGACATCAACGTGCATGTTGTTCAAGCCGTGAGGTAACTTACGGTTCGAATCTGGCACAGATTGGAATTGAATATTGAATGCGCTCCGCACTCGAAGCAACAGGTCCAGATGGTGCGCCACGCTGATGCGGAAGCTAGACGGCTTTGAGGACTTACAGGACTTACAGAACAAGTTTCCCTGTGCAGCTGGCTGAGGCGGGGGCGGCCTAGGCCGCTTGCCACTGAGTCGAGATCAGGCAAGCCGAGGGGAAATTGATTCGATAGAGTGCGGTGGAGACTCCAGGCCCGGCTGTGGATGCGGGGATCCGACCGTGACTTGGGGAGGACCGTGGAACGCGGCTGGCAAACGCAGCACCTGACTTCGGCTGCTCGTTGCCGATGGCTGCTCGTTGACGACGGCGTCCCCCCCCTCGCTGCCCCGCAGCTCGTACCTGCGCATGCGAGCCAAGCGGGCACGCTTGATGGCCAGGGTACCCACCGCGATGACGACCGCGCCCGCAAATGCGGCGCCGACAGCCGCAACGACAATCTGGGTTGGCGGCGGCGAGCCTCCACCGCCTCCCTGCTCATCCGCAGGAGTGTCACCGGGCCCATCCTTCTGTTCAGGATCCTGGGCATCATCAGGCGCGCCATCTCCAGGGGCGTCCGTCGGCTGTGCTGCCTGCCCTCCAGAGGGAGTGGTACCTGGCGCAGGCGTCGCGCCCGGCGCGTCCGTTGCGCCAGGGGCGGGGGATGCTGCCGGCGCGCCCGTCGAAGCAGGGGCTGGCGTCGGCGCCGGCGCAGGCGTGCCACTTTGGATCGCCCGCGCAGCGCCGACAGTCAGCCGCAGACACTGCAGCGCCCCAGACGCGCGGCTGCCCTCGACTTCGACGTAGTCGGCCGCGCACAGCTGACACGCCTCGCCGGCGTACCCCGTGTCGCACTGGCAGATGGCCATCTGCTGTAGCAGCGGCACGGCAGCGTCGTCAGCGACGCACGCGCCGACGCCACCGCACGCAAGGGTCGGCAGCCAGTCGGGCGCATTGCACGAGTACACTGCGCCGCCGCAGTCAGGCGCGCCCGAGGGTCCAATCGTGGTGCAGCCCGACTGGGGGCCATCAGGCCCAATCACTACCGTCTCCGATGCGCTTTCGCACACGCCGTTCCCACACTCGGAGAACGAGTCCACGGCTTGAAATCCAGTGCCCGTCCCCAGGAGGGTCTGTAGCAGGCGGCGCAACGCTCGCGCCACGGGCCCGGACCCTGATGTCCGCAGCTCCTTGCCGTTGGCGACAGCGCTGGCGATGTCGCTTCCGATCTGCCCCTGAGTCAGCGATCTGTCGCCGTCGCGCTCGACCCCCCCAAGGAAGATAGTGGCGTCCAGACCGCCCGATGCGCCGCCGCCGCGCCTCCGCATCTTGACTCTGTACTTGCCAACGCCAGTAGACTCTGCTGTCCAGGTCTCAATGGTGCTGTTGAGCTCTGGGTGGTTGCGGTTGGCCAGAGGAACGTCAAAAGTGACGGTGGCATCATAGGCGCACTGGGCGTTGTTGCCTCCGCAGTTCCCGCACTCGTCGACCTCCTGCGCGAGCCCCGTGAAGGGGTTGTTCGGCGGGCAGCACCGGCCCAGCTTGTCGCCCCTGCCCTCGCAGCACTCGCCGCCGATCCGTCCGCGCCCGCGGCCCCCACAGACGTTGCACCCGTCCAGGACAGGGCCACGCCCCCGGGCCGTCTGCGCATCGCGGAAGCAGCAGGCTCCGTTGGCGTCCTCGACCATGTCGGAGAACGGACAGCACTCCAGGGTCGACGTGTACACTCCGGACTCGCAGCAGGTGTCCACTCCGTTCACCACGTACATCTTGCCCGGTGCGGGACACTCCGGCCGCACGATCGACTCGCACCGCGTGCCGGTGTACAGGGGGTTGCCGTCGATGTCGCTGGCGCACTCGCACGTGAACGACGCCCCGTTCGGAACGCATCTGTTGCGCCTCTCAGCGGGGATGCTCTCCGCAGAGTATGCGCAGGGCTGAGCACTGCACCCGTCGATGCCTGGACACAGCGGTAGGTGCTGTGAGCTGGCGACTGGTGCGGAGTTGGTGCACGGCCGCGACGTGGGCGGTGAAGGCCCACACAGTTCCGTGGCAGCAGAGCCCGACACGACGCTGCCGTCGCTGCCTGTGCACACAACGGCGCGCGTCTGCGCGTAGGATTCGCCGCTGCCAGCTTCGCACGTCGCCAGCTGCCCGCCACTGTCGACGCAGCTGCTCCAGCTGTCCGTGGACCACTCGTAGGTGACGCAAGGTTCCACGTTGCAGGGCCGCTCCAGCAACGTGAGATCGATCTCGAGCCCGAAGCCGAGGCAGCTGCTCACGTCGACAGGCTGGCTGCTGGTGCCATTGATGCAGACCGCAGATCGAGTCTGCGTGGGGATGGGCGCGCCCGCAGCACGATCCCAGCACGCCGCTGGGCAGGTTGTCCACGCGTCAGGGTACTCGAGGACAAAGTCCGCGCATGCTTGTGTGTTGCAGGCCTCGGTCACCAAGGTCAGGTTTCGGGAGAGGGAGAAGTCGCAGCTTGAGAAGGGCAGCGGAGCCTGGGAGACATCGTCCACGCAGAAGGCTGTCCTGAAGCGCAGGCCGCCGCCGCACTGGGCGTTGCACGCCCCGAAGGGCCCGAAGAGCAGGCTTGGCCGCTGGCAGGGTGCTTCGATGCATATTCTTTGCGCAGGAGGCGGCTTACTGAGACCTTCCCTGATGCACTTCTGCATCGGGCACGGGCGTGCCGGCCGTGAACGTGCCGTTCACCGGGAAAAAGGTGAACTTCATGCACCTCGCCTCGTTCGTCTGGATGCCGTTCCCACATCGTCACGTTGCAGGGCGTCCAGTCGGACTCGAGGTTGACATAGGCGAAGACCGTCGACGCAGCTGGTTGAGTCGTGCCAACCTCCGCAGTGGTAGCTGCCACCGTGGTGGTCGGCGCCGCCGTCGTCGTGGGCGCTGCCGTGGTGGTTGGTGCTGCCGTCGTGGTAGGTGCTGCCGTCGTGGTGGGCGCCGCTGTCGTCGTGGCGGGCGCCGCCGTCGTGGTCGGTGCTCCCGTCGTGGTGGGCGCCGCTGTCGTCGCTGACGCTGCCGTCGTGGTGGGCGCCGCCGTCGTCGTGGCCGCCGCCGGACTCGTGGTCGGTGCTCCCGTCGTGGTCGGCGCCGCCGTCGTCGTGGTCGGCGCAGCCGTCGTCGTGGTCGGCGCCGCCGTCGTCGTTGTCGGCGCCGCCGTCGTCGTGGTCGGCGCCGCCGACGTCGTGGGAGCCGCCGCCGTCGTCGTGGGAGCCGCCGTTGTGGTAGGCGCCGCCGTTGTGGGCGCCGCCGTCGTCGTGGGCGCCGCCGTAGTGGTGGGAGCTGCCGTCGTCGTGGGCGCCGCCGTAGTGGTGGGAGCTGCCGTCGCCAGGCGCCGCCGTCGTCGGGCGCCGCCGTCGTCGGGAGCCGCCGTCGTCGTTGGCGCCGCTGTTGTGGTCGGCGCCGCTGCAGGTGGGCGCCGCCGTCGTCGTAGGAGCCGCCGTCGTCGGGGCGCCGCCGTTGTGGTCGGCGCCGCCGTTGTGGTGGGCGCCGCCGTCGTCGTGGGCGCCGCCGTCGTCGTGGGCGCCGCCGTCGTCGTGGGAGCCGCCGTCGTCGTGGGCGCCGCCGTTGTGGTCGGCGCCGCCGTTGTGGTGGGCGCCGCCGTCGTCGTGGGCGCCGCCGTCGTCGTGGGCGCCGCCGTCGTCGTGGGAGCCGCCGTCGTCGTGGGCGCCGCCGTTGTGGTCGGCGCCGCCGTCGTCGTGGGAGCCGCCGTCGTTGTAGCCGCTACCGTACTGGTTGGTGCCGCCGTCGTTGCCGGCGCAACAGTTGTGGTTGCAACCACGGTCGTGTTCGGAGCCGCTGTTGTGGTCGGCGCCGTCGTAGCAGTCGCAACTACCGTGCTGGCCGCCGCTGTCGTCGTCGCGGCAACTGTCGTCGTCGGTGCCACCGTTGCGTTGACGACCACCGTGGTGTTCGCGGCCGGCGTCAGTGTCGTACTCGGGGGCACCGTCGTCGCGGGGAAGGTGGACGCGGCCGGTGCCGTCGTAGCGTTCGGCACAATGGTCGTGTTGGGCGCGACCGTTGCGGTGACCGCGGGCGCCGTGGTCGCAGCCACCACCGTGCTGGTCGCTGGTGTCGTCGTCGTCGGTGCCACCGTTGCGTTGACGACCACCGTGGTGTTCGCGGCCGGCGTCACTGTCGTACTCGGGGCACCGTCGTCGCGGGGAAGGTGGACGCGGCCGGTGCCGTCGTAGCGTTCGGCACGATGGTCGTGTTGGGCGCGACCGTCGCGTTGACCGCGGGCGCCGTGGTCGCGGCCGGCGTCAGTGTCGTACTCGGGGGCACCGTCGTCGCGGCCGGCGCCGTCGTAGCGTTCGGCACGATGGTCGTGTTAGGCGCGACCGTTGCGTTGACCACGGGCACCGTGGTCGCGGCCGGTGTCAGTGTCGTACTCGGGGGCACCGTCGTCGCGGCCGGCGCCGTCGTAGCGTTCGGCACGATGGTCGTGTTGGGCGCGATTGTTGCGTTGACCACGGGCACCGTGGTCGCGGCCGGTGTCAGTGTCGTACTCGGGGGCACCGTCGTCGCGGCCGGCGCCGTCGTAGCGTTCGGCACGATGGTGGTGTTGGGCGCGACCGTCGCGTTGACCGCGGGCGCCGTGGTCGCAGCCACCACCGTGCTGGTCGCTGGTGTCGTCGTCGTCGGTGCCACCGTTGCGTTGACGACCACCGTGGTGTTCGCGGCCGGCGTCACTGTCGTACTCGGGGGC